GTTGTATATCTATGTACTGTAAAGCGCTTTAGAGTGACCCAGTCAAGCTAGATAGGGCGCTATATTAAATGTTGTACATTACAGTACGTCTATTTCCCCAAAACCTGCAGTGGTTTTAGTTTGTATGACACAGAAGACATAAGCATATAATTCATTACGTTTCCTGGGGAATCTCTTTGGAAGTGTATTCTTCGTGTAAATTATCATTCTAAACAAGAACGTTTTCTCTTACCGCCCATCCTCACTTATCATGCGCCATTAACCGAAAATCATGTCGCATGATCCTTCCCCCACCTGTAATATAGCCTATGCGTCAAAACTATAGTTCACCTTTTTAACATTGATATGTTTTCCAAAAACAAACAAACAAAATTATGAAAACGTACGGTAATTTTCTCATAAAGTGTACATGAACATGCCAATGTACTCGAACAACCGTTGTCGCGTCACTTTTTCTAAAACAAAAAGCTTTGCATTTTTTTCAGTTTGGTTAAAATCCATATGTTTTCCTTCATAGCTTAAGTTTACTTATGTCGAAACAAAACTTAATTAATTCAATATCAAAAATTTAAGCTAACATACGATTTCTGGCGATTATCTACTGTCGCAAAATATCTTGCCAGATACGTTTCTAAACAAAACACCCAAAACACAAGCATTTATTATTGGTGAATACACGTTTTAAATATGTTGGTATATTGACTAAATGGTATCTTATATCGCATATAAATCCATTGACATCACTTCCGTAAGCATATATCAAGTATCCAGCATGAAACTCTGTATTCGTGGGTTGTCCGTTAAAATTTCAACAGATACGTGACCTGAATTTGTCTAATAAAACTATACTCATTGTTGTGGGGACTTTTTTATAGCTTACACGATAAAAAACTGAAGTATAACCTTTTTGTTCAATGTGTAAATTTTAAGCGAATACCGAGTGAATTTAATTTTGCTGGCGTAAACAGTTTTGCCGACCAGATACGTATAAACAGATACGTTCTAAATGGTTCTATAATCGTAGCTTCTAACAAAGATAATCTGGATTCTAGTTTTATTTCGTGGGATTTTGATTGGAACATATAATTAGACCTTTTACAAACTGTACTTGCATCAGCTGGTTTAGTTTTCAATGGGAATATCTCCAAATTTTAGGAAATCTAAAGGCATGAATGCATATATAATAATGGTTAATTTGTGTACGTTATTGTAGATGTTCAAATACATTTAACTACTATAAATGGATTTTAAAGGATTAATTAGTAAAACGCTTTGAAAGAAAAGGGTGGGATATGTGCGGATAAGGGATTACACCAATTGGAAAATGTTCACTTTGGTCACGTTTCTGTTTTGGTACATTATTTTCCCAGATAAAATCGACTTGGTTATGTGAGCATTTGAGATAGGTGCATATATTTGATCACAAGTGACCATTACATCGATTTAAAGTTTGTTTTAGTGATAATGTAAAGTAGCATGAGTGTAACACTTGAACAATATAATGTGTAACGTATCTGTTGGAATGGTAACGTATCTGTTCAAGTTTTGAATGGAAGTAACGAGTAAAAAAAAGTGATATGTACGCTAGCGTAAACACTTTTTGCAGTATAAGTTAAAGCCGCCTTGATGTTTGATTACGTCTGGATCTTTTGTGATGTTGTTTTCAATATAAACGTTTTTTATATAAGTTACTTGTTTAAATTGTGTGAACAGATACGTTACAAGAACAAATTATATCCTTGTTTTAAAGCAACATACCATAATGATTTTTTCTTCTGAAATATAGATCAAATTAATAGTAGTTAATCACAATAAGTGCAAATAACACACAATTTCGATTGAAGATGCTGTAAAATTTGATTTGTACATGTATCTATGGCTGGCAAGGTAGCATATACGTTACAATATGGTACTCAACTTTAAAGAGATACAGGCGAGGTAGTATCTTTGTTGTGATGCTGAAGAACGAATTTTTTGTACTGTACATATGCATTAGTCGATGAAAAAAATACTTTTCTAAAACTAAACCCGTGAAAAGTGTTCAAAAGTTTGAAGTTCAAAGAATGAAATAAATATTGTTTTTGAATGCATTGGTTTTAAATGATTTCCGTTCGAGACCAAATGCTTATTTTCATTTACGGTCAGAAAAAAGTGAAAGCATTTGTTGCAGAAATGTCTGGTTTTATGACACGGTCTATCTTGGATTCGCGAATATGGTAAATTTGAAGAAGAAAAACCTTTTGTTCTGAAGTACTGGATCACGTATCTGTTTTAGTGACAATGACCTGTTGGGAATGGACACTTCTGTTTTCAAAACTGGTGAAAAGTAAACAGAACCCTTTCGGTAAATTATCCTACACATGTTACTCTTTCGAGATAATATAACAAAATGTTACTACATATGTATTGGCGCATGATAAACGAGAATGAAGGTTATATCGAATTAGTAAAACCACATCTTCATCCTATATGATTACTCCAAAAAGTATTTTACATGTATATGTGACTTTTATATAAATACCCCTTACCTTGAGGATGTCTAGCAGTTTTTGCACGTTTTGTCTATCATCATCCTCAAACTCGCCAAGTTTTTCCATGGCGTCCGTCCACTCATTATCGTACAACTCGTTGTACTTCTCCCCCAGTTTCATGGCTCTGTTTGGGTCACTGAGGTCAGCGATAGTCGGGTTGTTGTCACTGAGCTTCGTCCCCAACTCCTTACTCAACCTGTTTATATATAAAATATATCCGATTACTTTCTTCATCCATTTGAAATATTGATATACCAGTGTCCTTACCCGATTTGTTAAAATACAAACATCTGTTTTGATGATGATTAAATTTTATTTTCTGAAACAGCGTAAATCATCGTCGGTCGTTCTCGATTTTTGTAATTTGACTATGATAAACAGTAGTGAAAACATTCATGCATAAGGAAATAAGCGACAGGTCACACATCAACATGTCATCTTTGTTAGTGTTTAAGGTAAATTATTACTAATTTCTGTTATCAAAAGTCATACCATCAATGTACATATATGAGCGAAACCGACCTATTTGCACAATCTTATAAGTATTACGTACATTGTATCTTTCTTCAACAAGTATACTTTAGGAAGCGTCACTTAACAGTAAGCGGTGTACATAAATTAGTAAATAAGAGATACTTTTTAGGATCTTTAAAGTGGCTTACAGATATTTAACAATCTTTGCTTTCGAAAAAAAGTGAGCTCTTTTTTTAAATTCCTTTTACCTTGTCAGTGCCTCGTTTTTCTCGGTCATTGCAGCAGCTATATCGATCTTAGCTTGCTTCAATGCTTCGTCTTTACTTTTTAATTCGACCATGCAATTCCTATTTTCCTTTTTGGTACGTTGCAGCTTTTCAAGCAAACTTTCGCTTTCTTTGCATTTGCTTTCCAACTTCTCGTTCTCTTCTTTCAGTCGTTCTTTTTCGTTTAACAGAGTGTTAAACTGATACTCTATGTCCTCCCTTTCACGTGTGATTGTCCCAGATGTGAGCTGTTCCATTCGCTCATTTTGAGCCTCCAGGTACTTTTCCTACAGAAAAAAAATATATGGTAAAATGCATCTGCTATGACATAACATTGAAGACAAATGATTTTTTTCGAAATATCATTGCTTTCTCTTTATTGTAAAATTCAAATGGAACAAGCTAAACAAAGGAACTAGTTTTAAACAGTACGATAAAACAAATATGTAACCTGAAGGAAATATTATAAAAAAAAAAATGAACAGATTAAATACAGAAATGATAAAAAAATAAGTATTGTTAAATATGTATTGATGATCGAATAAGTTTGATATACACAAGTATGCTAACATATGTATGGCTATAAAAGGAATGAGTAGAACAAACATGATAAAATTGGTATTTTGAAAAACTAAGATTATAAAATGTATTAAGTATCGTTAAATATGTATGATAATACTGTAACCAATACGTGAACGCGCAAGAATTATATGATAATAACTTAATAAGTATGGTAAAAGTACCCATGTATGAAAATATATAAAGCGAATGATGAGAACACGGATCCATAACTGATTCAACACGGGACAAAATATCAAATTATAATATATCTAACAACACTGGTAAATATCTGCAGCAAGTTCAAAACTGGACGAATATAATACTGTTCAAAACGATAAGAAGGCGAAATTTCAGCAGAGCGAAATAAATTTATTTACCTCCAATACCATATGTTCTTCATTTTTTGTCTTCTTCATAAGTGTTTTGTAGAGATTCAGCGCTGCACCAAGGTCAATCTTCTGAAGCTCCGAGACGACGTGAAGAACTTTTCGTAGATCGGACAGATCTCCGGAGTCCTCTGATGTGGCCGTGTGGGGTTTCCTGTCAAGCTTAGCTGCTTCTGATGTGCGACCAAGTTCAAGTCGAGATGCTTTTGAACTAAAAGTGAAAATTGGTGTGTACATTCACATTTATATAATTATTTCTAGAGTAACACAAGTATATAAATATATAAGGTACATTTATCTTCACTATTATATAATTAGCAGTGTCGCCGTTGATATAAATCATAACATGGAGTTTCGTGGTACTTTATTGCAAAAAGTTGTCGCCAAAACGTTTGACATAAAAATCTCTCGCACAACTATAGAAATGTTTTCGATTTTCTGGTATGTTCCAAAGCCTTCTAATCAGTGGCACATCAAACTTTTAAACTGTGACCTGTATCGTACATGTAGCTAATGCAATAAATGTTACACTTGATTGGTGTGTTCTCTCTTTCGATTATGGGTAGCCAGGCGTGCTGCTGTGCTCTCGGCTCTTACATATGTAGTTGATCAAAGGACAGCTTTGTGAACTTGGCTTTTACTCTATAAATTTAACCCAGTTATCCAAAGTCATATAATTTAGGCAGCAAGTTGACAGCAGTAGGTTAGTAGTAGAATTCATTGAACGCTTTAGTATTGTGTTTGAGTGCACTGTAAAAGTCTCATCAAATATATACCCCCTCACTCACCCTGAGGTCGGTCTGTCGGCATGGTTACGGCCCCTATCAAGGGATCCAGTAAACGGTTGAGCCCTTCCAGGGTACACAGCCGGGGGAGAGCCCGTAGGCTTGCTTTTAACTTTATGTTGACTACGCTCCATTCTACAAGATCACATTCAATTTCTTAATTACTTTGCAGTTCAACATTATACAAGTAACAAGCCATCATTTTTTGTGTGAATTAAATACTCTATCGTAATGCCATTTTTGAAAAGGTAACAACGCAAATTGCCACGTCCCCACTATGTACAATATACATATGTTGCCCATAGTAAATTAAATACCAAGTGGGTTTTTTCAATTTCTCGTAAAAAAAGTACAATATAATTGCAAACATAAGACGGATTTTACAACAAGTTAACGCCTCATGCAAAGTTATCGCCTTCGTAAAGAATGACGACGAAAACAACATGTGCGAGGGTCTTTATTTAAACACGGTATTACTAAATTGGAATTTCAACCTGGGTCCAGTTGTTCAAAAGGTGATGAGCTTAATCAGTAAATGACAGTGATAAGGGCAAATTCTAATTTTTGTGTATCTTTAAAACACAACTTTCCAGATATCGAATATTCAGTAGAGTAAATTTACAAACAAACTTGTTAGATTTAACCTTGTATATTGACGAAATTATAAAAGGTTGAATGATGTCGTTAAACAGTGATTAAGCTAACTACCTTTTGAACAACTGTGCCAAGATTGTCAGTTTGTTTAAGCTTAGCGGAGGCTTAGCCGTGTGCTATTTTTTATTTTATCCCGATGGCTGATATTTTTCCGGTTTCTTCACCCAGGGATGATCGATTATTTTCTCCTCCATTTTCCTATCGTAAATAAGAAGAGGTTTTAAAGGTGAACCCAATTTACCACGCCTTCATCAATGACGCATGAATCATATGAATGTCCCCAAATTGATGACGATACCCTGCATGGTTACGCTGAAAAGTAATGACGCGATGGTGACGTTTTCAGAATAATCGAGCGTGTGAGCTGCGTTTTCCCTTGGTAGGTAAAGAAAATGACCATGTAAGATAGCGTTTTCCCATGATAGAAACCAATTTTAGATTCATCTTTCTCTCAGTTCTGTGTGTGTGGGTAAGACAGTAATGTCCCATGTAATAAATGGGTTTAAGAATTTCTATCTTACATCCATTTTCATATGCGTGACGTCATCATGGGACAACAATGACGTGACGTCAGGTAATCGGGAACTTTCCGATGTCGCGATACGGAAATAGCGTCTTTTGTGGTTTCTAAGCTAATTCTGGTGATATCTTTCTATGAACCTTTATTTCTTTCATCAAATTCAATCATTAATAAAAAGTGTTGATGCATAACGTAAGAATGTAAACGTGTGATGTGAGAATGTGTTAATAATAGGTAATAACTTTTGATTAAAGGGTTGTTCAATATTCTGTCAATTTGTATAAGTGGATATACACCAATTTCCGGTTAAATATAGAACTACAGGGGGGTTGATCACAAGTAGTGAATATATTACTAAAATTCCCGGTATGGTATTTTCTGTTACAAGTAATGATTCGAGGATTCACCGAAGCTGGGTAAAATAAGATACTACTTGTGATATTGAAGTAGATCAACAGGGGACTCTTTTTACCTATGATCATATTTACTCCGTCATTGCATTTCCGAACAAGTATAGAAAATTCAACAGTAGACCAAAACATATATATCATGAACGTCAATCATGCATGTATTAATTGAATGAACGTTTTAATCAAGAATCTTAAAACGTACAGCAATGATTATCCTTATTACAATGTAACAGACTTTAGTATGGCGCGGAATTAACCTAATGCATGTCTTCATAGTCGTATCTCATAGAAATCGATATTAAATATGCAGATAAATTAGATCGTCGGTCAAACAAGTAATTTATCCGAGAAGGATTACTTCCAGAAAATAAGTATACGGTACACATGTAGGTAGCTAGGGGTTTATTTTGTTTCTATGTTTACGTTGCGTCTTTCTGGTGCACATTCCCTGACTGTACATGGCTTGTTTATCGTCTAAAGATTGGGATCTAGGGTAGGCAGTGGAATTTAATACAGATAGGGTAAACTGGACAGACTGGATTGACTTGGCTCTTGGTTTTCATTTAACACATTTATCAGGTATTTATGCCTTAATATGTTACAGCAGAATTTAAACTCAATATCCTGGTTTTGCATGTGAAAATAAGAAATGTAAAATCCTTGATAGACTACTTTCGGTTTATGTTGCTTTAACATTGCATTCCTCTTTATATACATGTAACGGCACGTACAGTACAAACAGCGCGCAATATATAACGCCCAGCATTAAACATGATATAGTTTGAATCGAAATTAATACTGTATACATGTACTTGTACCAAAATAGAGTTAAGCCTAATAATACACAACTACTATGATAACTCACCCGATGTTATGGTTAGCGTCTGTGTTGTTATGAATGTATATGTGTACTGTTTAGCACACCATTGCCGCGCGCCAGTACATATACATAAACATGAAATATCACCCACGGTTCCGATTGTGTGTTCACGTCCGAGAACATCAAACAAGGAAGTAAAAAAATCAAACCTGTACAAACATATACTACACTCTCAGAGGCAGTTTACCTGTAACAGCTGAAGTTTTAAAACGTAAAGAGTCACGTGATACTTTATTGGCTCCCGTTGTTGTTTACGGCAACCAGGCAATTTTTAATCATGTCAATGCATATGGCCCGTAGTTTGAATTTGATTTTTTTTTTCTTAGAGTAGATCTACTATTTGATTATTCTTTTGATATTTTAAGACACTCATATAAATATTACAAACATAGTTTTGACAGTTAGAAATTATATCTCTAACAGAAGTTCAAATTACAACAGAAATGTGTACACACAAAAAAAAATGTACATTTGTATAGTAGTCGTAAAAAAAGGATATATATTCAGATTACAATTTACTTGATATAGTAAAATTTCTCCAGCAATTCGAAATCCTTACAATATACCTGATATGTCATTCCTTAGATGATACTGATTTTATCATTTGTATCTAACCTGCAGGGCGGTTACACTTATGTTCGCTCAAAAATATCCTATGTGTGCCTCATTCAGTAATTATTCACCGCTCCCTTGAAGTCAAAAGCCATAGTTCCAGATAAACCACTTTCGTTTTCTTGCCTGTACATCCAATTTAAATTTGTGAAGAGGAATATCGTATTAAAGTACTTACCAGAAGCTGTACCCGTATAAAACAACTCTGCTTAAATTATATCCATAGTTTAAACAAGTTATCTACAAGCGAGCGTCCCAATACCGGGAATCCCCTATTTACTAATAATAAATAGCCAATCAAAATGCGACGTACGGACGATTTGCAGTGAACTTGAGGACGAGGCCGTGTACACACACTCATGGACCGAGAGGTCCTCCCTGTCACGATATGCTGTGAATTCTGTAGTTTGACCGTTAATGAAAATAGATTGGTAAGTTACACGAGAGTGAATCAACGCTACCTCTAGCTAGATGCCAGCCGGTAATTTGGCTGTCGTCTGTCCTTAATAGAGAGGTAAGGAAGTCTCTTTTCGATATGAATGAGGCACATTAAGGGGTTCACTTCTTTACCTGTACTACATACAATTTATAATCGATACCACTTTCATTATCCAAAAAATGGTTTGTAAGATTATTTATTTGGTTAAATACTAACAGTGTCTGTGGAACACAAACAACTGTTGTGAAATCTAAACAGGAAAAAGGAATGTGAAAATAAATTGTTTACCTTCCCATGCATTTCCCAATTTAAGTACACATGTGTAATACAAAATTTCCAATATTTGTAAAATTCTGCAATATCTGTACAAAACCAACCTGTCATGTGATGGAGGTCTGTTTCTACTCGGCGCTCGTCCAGACATGGTGGCACGAATACGCCGATAAATGCAGTCTAGATGCTGGTAAAGGGTTGGTACTTTCGGTTTGGACGAACAGGAAGTATAACCGTACAACTATTTAAACGATGACCTATATCTAATGTAACTTAACAAGGAGAGACGTCTACATCGAGGCCTGGGGGTCACAGGTACGCTCGCTCTTGTTGTAGATATTCTAATGCCACTAAATGAGGGGCTAGAGATAACAAATATTCCAGGTAAGTTGAACTTTGACACTGTCCCCCTATATACGTTTGTAACAACCATCTGACAGTTTCACAATATAGTTTTTTTTATTTGTTATATGTTCTTTACACTATAGTATTAAAACCCTTTTAAACAATTCAGCGATTCAATCCTGTATGATTGTAACATTTCACAATCTCTACTGCACCAAATGAAGACTTACTTAAGTCCGAAATTATTGTAAGTCTCAAACCTAAAACAAAGTACGTAATATACCTGTGTTTATGAATATCCACAGTTTTCTTTTAATTAAAACATATTTTATTGCAAATAAACATATTTTGCAAACGAATTCGACAAAAGTTTAAACAACTTATTAAAGTCCTCTTCGACAACAAACATGGGATTACAATACATATCACGCGATGTTAGTGCTACTAAAATATACTTTCTAGGAATGTAAATATATAATTAAAATAGACAAAAGGTAATAGACATTAAAAAGATAATATCAGATTATACAATTTACACATTCTTGTTATGGTATATATCTCCTAGGACAAAGAGGACATACAAAGTGTGAGAAGAAATGAATTCTTGCAATATTTGAGTGATCATAGTTATTTAGATTAATATCTCCATTCAGTATACGATCAATATTTACTTGACCAGGGTACCATGTCATTGACCTAAAATGTGAAAGACGGGATAGATAATATTTTGGACAAATAAAAAAGAAATGGTTCGAATCCTTACAGGGATGTCCACAATTACATATCTACAGTTTGTACACCTGGAACAAGGGGGTCGCTGAAGGAGCCCGAGGGTCGCTTGTAGATCTAGATGTACCTTTTTCACAGAGTATATATATATTATCTTCAATCTCTGATTTCACTCAGAAGGTATATAAATAGAACGTCGGGTTAACACAGATGCTAGCTGAATATAATCAATCACTTCTACAATGTATATTAAGGAAAAAAGAGAAGTTTCAATCCAAGTTTAAGATATTTGAACTGTTGCACGAGACTGTGCAAAGTGCAAGCTTCAAACATCTACACGACATGCTTCGGCACGCGGCTGACGTCCACCTCATTAATATGCCAAAAGTGACTAAATGACTGCGAAACACTTTGAAACTCGGAAATGGAGTGTGTTTTTGGAGGAAACGGAGATCATGTCTGCGGAACGAAAATACATTTTACGTGAATATAGCAGGTTTTTACAAGGATAACTTATCGATTTTTCCCACGGTACTAAGCATATTTTTGTACATCAACTAGAAATGTGGTTATTCATGCAAGAAAGTTAGGTGGCCTCGATTTTTCGGTATCGAGAGCTTTCCTCCCTTCTCATATATTACATGTGTATCGTCTTTGGGGGTGGCATTTTTTACCGAAAATTGATCTAAACCCCTTAGCTTAGGTCCAAACATAGCTGTAACATTTTCCATATCTCTGTGCTCTGTGCTGCTGTTTGTAAAATGTTTTTATTTAATTTTATAGTTTACATCGTTTCACCCTTAAAGTGGTATATTTGCTTATTTACCTCAAAATTAATCTCTTGGTTGGAGGAACAAGAAGAGTAGCCTCCCTGTACATACACACGAGAACTGCGTGCCACGCCTGGTACTATCCTGGAACTGTCATTGGCGATGTTAATTACGCCTTTATTTACCCGTAGAATGAACTAATCGAGACAGCACATATATTTAGTTAGATAGTTGATACAAATAAAATGATATGCTGTTTGTAAAGAGACAGTATGTTTGTAAAGAGACAATAACTGAATATTTTGTGTTATTAATTTCTACTGTATAAACATTTTTTCTTTTTCTCCCAAAGAATGTAAATAAACAGAGATGGCCGCCCTACATCAGAACATCAAAAAGCAGAAGCTGATGGTGGCTGCCATCGACTTCGGTACCACCTACTCCGGCTACGCATTCTCCTTTAAAGAGGACTACAAAACCAACCCCCTTCAAATCTCCATCAACCAGAACTGGATTGCAGGTTCCAGAAGTCTGGTATCCTTCAAGACTCCAACATGTATCCTGTTTGACAAATCTGAGAAATTCGTAGCATTCGGATACGCAGCAGAGGACGAATACTCGGAACTAGCTCTCGACGAAAAACATGGCGACTATTACTACTTCCGGCGGTTCAAGATGACGCTAATGGAGAAAGTTTGTTGTTTGTCATCCTTAATATTTTCATGTTTAGTAATAAATTCAGTGGTAAAACATCAAGTTTTATTATACATGTAGGTTAACCTGAAATAAATATATGAGAGAATTCAATAAATGAATGACAACACTTTATCTATAAACTTCCAAAAGACAAACAATTCTGGTGAGTCATTAAACCTAAGTCGATATGATCCCATCGAATCGAACATTTTTTTTATTATGGAAAGAAATATAAGATGTTCATTATTACTAATAAATTATCTCCATTGAACTAAACAAGCTCCAAAATGTCCTTGATTTCAGAACCTTCAAAGGAACACGTCCCTGGAATCAGAAAATGTGACCAAACAAATGGCGGCCAAGACGGTGTTCGGGGAATCAGTTAAGTACCTAAAGAACCACTTACTGAGCACACTGGACACGCGTGGCACGACAGTGGTCAACTCGGACATCCATTGGGTCCTAACTGTCCCTGCAATATGGAAGGACAATGCCAAACAGTTTATGCGGGAGGCTGCAGACTATGTGAGTCACCCTTTACGGAACTATTACTATACTATTGTCTTCCGATAATTCAGATCCCACTGCCCTTCAATAGTTAGCTTGATGTACTGAACCCATTATTACCCACAGACATGGCCCGTATTGTTGTCATCTGAACAGACATGTATACAGTCAGGCAACCAGGCCTTTACTTGTTTATCATATAAATTAATTTTCACCATTTACATTTTATTAATTATCACTGGTAGAAATTGTTCTTTTTTTTCATGTTAGGCCGGAATTAAGGGGGAACAACTCACCATCTGTCTGGAACCGGAAGCAGCTTCACTGTACTGCCAGCATCTGCCTATGGACAAGTTCAAGGGCAATGTGACTTTCAAGGGATCAACTTCAAAATACATGGTTGTAGATTTAGGAGGTAATATTGCGGTCTTATAATTACTCAATGTTCAATTTGCTAATCGAGTTGATAACAAGGTTTGTGCCCATTCGAAAAAATCACTTTACCTGTGTTGGAGATTTCCAAAAGGGACACAATTCATAAACAAGAAATAGGCTTATGGTGGAGCTTTGACGGGTCAGTTTAAATAGCACGCATTATCCAGATGTGATAGTGTTGCCATTGCTGTTTTATAACACATCCTTTTGCTTAAGAGGTGTTGTTTATGTGTTTGTGATATTTTTGTTCCCTTCTAACTGTTTTCATTTGAGTTATCTATACTGGTGTACCTGTCGTTATTCTTCATTGTCGTTTTACAAAGGAAATAATCCCATTTATCCCTATTGTATTTCTAACAAAAAGGGGAAAAGTGGACTCTCAACAATAAATCCGGAATATTATTTTTTTCCAAATATCGAAATCAGGTGGAAGCCAGCTGAATTCCACTCGATTTATCCTTCTCCTGGTACCTTCTTCGTTTATCTCTAATCTTGTTTTCTTGTTGCAGGTGGTACCGCCGACATCACGGTTCATGAGAAGCAGCTGGATGGAACGCTTAAGGAGGTACACGAGGCCAGCGGTGGTCCCTGGGGAGGCAAGTACGTGGACGAGAGGTTCACGGATCTTCTCATTGGTCTCGTCGGCCATAAGGTGATGCAAGAATTTTCTGACCAGAACAAGGCTGACGCCTTGGATATTTATCGAGAAATCGAAACTAAAAAACAAACCATAAAACCGGAAATGACAGGAAAGGTGACGGTGAAGGTCCCAGTGTCCTTGGTGGAAACATTTAAACGGCTGACAAAACAGAACATTAAAACCGTTATAGAAAAATCTAAGTATCAGGGTAGAATGACATGGACGGGCGATAAACTACGAATGGAAGCCGACTTATTCCATGAGCTATTTACTGATGGTAAGGATAAGTTATTGTCACATTTACATGAAATGTTTCAATTGAAAGACGTGGCGGAAGTAACAACAATTTTGATGGTTGGAGGATTTTCAGAATGTGAAATTCTCCAGGATGCGATGCAGAAAAAGTTCGGTTCATCCCGTAAAATCGTCATACCAGAAGATGCTGGCTTAGCGGTGTTAAAGGGAGCGGTTTTATTCGGACACAAACCACAAACGATTACTCAAAGAAAGGCCAAATATACGTACGGTATTAATATCTCACCGACGTATGACCGAACGGTTCACTCGCCAACTCGGCGAGTGACCATTGACGGGGTTGATAGGGTCAAGGACGTATTTAAGAAATACATTGGAAAATGTCAACCCCTTAGAGTCGGAGAAGCTGTCACCGGAAGACACGTGACCATCAAACGGAGCCAACGTGAAATGCTACTGAAGGTGTACGCCTCCGTTGATGCCGACCCCAAGTATGTGACGGACCGGAACTGTGAGTTTTTAGGTAAAGTTGTGGTGGAACTTCCGGATTCAGACGAGCGCTTGACTGTGGAAGTAAGCATGATCTTCGGCGAGACGGAACTGATGGTGGAGGCGAGGGAACAGACTCCAGGCCAGGTCGCTAAAACTCACCGGGCATATTTCGACTTCCTGTGAACGAAACTATCCCTTTAAATTGTGATTCGTCATCATAATCGATAATAACATAATGACAGTGGCATTGATGTACGGCCGATATGCCTCTACGAGTATCGTGGATTACATTATACTTACTTATACAGATTAAATGGTGAAAGTGCTTTCACAATCAAAACATAAATTTTAAAAGATTTTATAAATCAGCTTTTTCTGTTTGCATTTACAATTTGATTTCACGACTGTTTTAAGAGATGAATTGGTTAACCTCGTACTTGTAAACGGCAAACTAAATGGTGATAACTCCTTTTGACTCTTTTGTCAAAGGAAGCTATTGGTTTGTAATAAATATATAGCATTTTGAAATCGGGGTTTGTATTTCTTATAATAATCTAGATATTCTTTACCTTAACAATTAGGAGTATCAACCCCTTTTGGGACACAACTTGATATTTACATACAATAGGTTACTATCATCTTTATTTTCTCCTTTTATACATTTGACCTCTATTGTAAATTAACCTTTGTCAGGAGTATAACCTTCTACTTAAAAATTCTAGTAATACGGAACTTGGTATCGCAATACATTGACATATCATTTGATAACGATAATAGTGAACATGTTCATTCATGATTGCGCGTCTTATTTACACAAGAACTCGGTATAAATTTGTATGTACAAGCACTTAAAATCGTAAACCCATGCTCTTTCCCAATAGACATTTTAACATGCTTTTAAGTAATTTTTAAGTTTTCTAACAAAACTAACAACACATGAACCATTTTGATGTGTTGTCACTCGTTCCATTGCTTTGGATTGAACATGTTTATGTCCTAGAAGTCTGAAGTGATTTGCCCTGTCAGGCTGTTGTGTTGGAAGTATATGATCTGTAAATATGAAGTATTTTATATCTAACAGAATAAACCATATCTACACGTAACAGTCCTTCAGTTCCATTGCATAAAAATGCGTGAGACAAAACGATTTTCTAAAAACATGGTCAATGGTCACCCATCATGAATTTATAACAAGGAAATGTTGATAAATAATAAACTCATTCACCCCTGAAGACACATTTAAACTCTTTCAATTCAAATGTTAGAATAGTTAATTATGAAATTTCAGGGGTGAATGAGTAAACCCCTCCACGATACAATAAAATCCTGGCTGCTCTCTTCAGTAATTCGGTTCTACATAATGATCAGTTGCCGAAAATCGTATCCGTATCTTTGAAACGTTTATGCATGATAGTTAAGCGATCTACAAAATGAGGCAAAAATATACAGATTAGACTTTCGATAACCGCTCCAGTGAGTTTTGTATGTCCGTACGATTCAATGGAATATTTCTATCTTTTAACATATATTTTGTCAAGTTCAGGGGGGGGGAGGAGTAATAGACTGAATTACAAAGTATCTCTTCTCAAAGTTCCTGGTAGTGTTAATACGGTTAGTTGTCAAACAGAATTAATCCAATGTCCGCATCATCGATGTTACAGAGACGGAGAGTCACATTGTAAGTAAAATGTATTTCATTCTGCAGCATAACTGTGATCCAAAATTAATTTAAATACAAAAACAGGTATAAAATGTATAGCAAACAAACCAGGGGGTCGTATCATATATGATCTCGCTTTTAGATGACATTTGGGATTGCTATCGGTAGCCTGGCAATGTGTTTTATCACAGTTATATTCTACATGTACCTAGCTATTAGATAAGGGGTGGGGGGGTCTTAACTTAAAATAGCAAGTGTTATCAATAGTTGTGTTTTTGTGGACAGGCAGTCATTAAAGGTACGTGTACTGATAAACATGGGTAACTATACTGTTCGCCGAAAGGTCATATTGTCTATTTGTTAAACCAAAACAATTGCTTTCATCGATAATTTAACGGATACTAACAAATACCTATCCAATTAATAGCAATCAAGAAAACCACCCTTCACACTAAAAGATGAGGTTGAGGCGAGAAGGCGATTTTTTTATTCATTTTTTAATTTGTTAATTGTTCTTTTTTAAGTCTTGACAAAACAATTGTTGGTCCTGTGCCAGAACAGGCGATCAACATTTGTATCATTCGGAGGGTATTTCGCATTTAGTTCATGCGGTTTATGTTTTTTCACGTTGATAATGCAGAAATCAATTCCAGGTAATATATTTTGCTATGGATTCTGTGGGGCTTCAATATGTCGTCATTATTTCCCCCCAGATATCAGTTACTCTGATCAACCTTTACCGTTACTGTTATCGATTGATGTTTATTCACGCGCGTTTATCTATACATATACACTTCTGTGAAGAGAAACGGACAGGTATTGTTCATTGACATGTTTACACACGTACATGTATGTTAAGTAGGAAATAGAACACATGCTTACCTGCATCCATTTGTTACACTGTAGTATCCGTTAAATTATCGATGAAACCATTGTTTTGGTTTTACAAATAGACAATATGACCTTTCGGCGAACGGTATAGTTACCCATGTTTATTAAAGATACGTAATTTCAATATATCTAAGAAATCGATAGATTTTTTTTTATATTTGCAGACTTATATTTTTATTTTTATTTCGATCTTAGATGCTTTTATTTTCATTATTTAAACTCTTATATTCCTTTTTTAATCAAAAGCTGAGTGCTCGTAATGTCTCGTAGTCTTGGCTTCTACCTTTTGTTACTTTTACTATGGAATAATTAGGTCATCACCATTACTATAACACATGAATACATAAATATAAATCAATATGTTTATGTCACCTCAGGAGTTTCCCCAACTAAGTAATAAAAATCGAAAGTCCTTGCCATGGTGTAAAAAACGGAGTTCTCCCCTTTTCCATAAATTTGGATCAAGTGTACAGGCAATAACATCACGTGATCTTTTGTGGAATTTCCGGTGATCGAGGTACACACATGTGTATCAGTCTGTAGCCACAGTGGTGTGTATCGCCAGGTAAGTACAGACTATATTACTACAGCCACAGTGGTGTGTATCGCCAGGTAAGTACGGACTATATTACTACAAAGCTTATTAATTACTCGTACATTTGCTACAGATAATTGTTTTCTTAAAAAAATATGACATTATAGTCTTGTATATATTCAACGTGTAGTTTTATTGAGAAAGTGAAAGTAGAATGTACAATGTGATATACACATTTTCTAGTAATCAGTAATTAGTTGCTTCAGTGTAAACACTATAACAGTGCAATAATACGCCGACTATGGTGCATCTCTCGGCGTTGTCAATACTTCTGTACCACACAGACATTGTGATTTAAATAGAAAACATTGTATTATATTTCTCATAATGGTACACAACTCGCAGATTAAGCACTGATATACACGTAGATAAGACCATTTAGTTTAAGTCAGTGTGCATATACAAAGAAATAGCACAGATCTGCAGATCTTTTGGCAGATATAGATAATATATATGAACATGCCATATCTTTTAAAGGTTTTAAATAAAACACATCATATTTGTATGAATAATAGTAGATAGTTTATTTTACTATATTGCTTGACATTCGCAAGTATCGTATTTTACCAATTAAAAAAAATAGATATTTCATTTAATAAAAAATATCAGTATTGCTATTCGCTGCGTAAGTAACTGTTATATATGATAATCTTAAGCGTAGTATTACTATACATACATGTGCATATATGCACATGTATTTATAGAAATATATTTCAATTCGTTTGAGTCCTTAAACTTTATTATTACTGCAATGATTTAAACAATGTGTCTGGGCTGCTTTACCTTATCTATTTTATTTCAATGATATAGTTTTATTATTTACTTTAACGTCCTGATTAAGTTACAATATATAGTGCAAATTTTCAAGTAGCACTATACAAGTAAGCCCAAAAAAATAGAACAGTGCATTAGGTCTGTCATTATTCTTTCATAAAAGAGCCCAATGACCTCGTATTATATTGTCTGGTATTGTCAGATGCCGCCACTGTGTGTGTGTAACCTGATCTAGGGTTGTTATGTCTTTGTTCGTTATGATGAATCTCCGTCTCGCTGATTTAATGCCATTCTTCTCAGTCTTGGTAACAATGGATTTCATTATAAACAAGAAAAAAACTAAAAAGTTAAATGTCAAAATAATATATTCAAATAGTTTTGTAACGCAACAATTTCTCATAGAAAGTCAAACCGTGTTAAAATTGTTCCACTCCTGCAGAAAATGTCAGCATGGGTATTGGGTAATGTGATCTGCAATTCGTTATGCTGTCTGAATCAATGTCTCTACCTCCATCCATCTCCATCTAGGGAAAGGCAAACAGTGAATACATTTTACTGCACGGTAGGGTCATTTGGTAGACTGGCCCCCGTCTCTAGAATATTGAATTATTTAGAAAAAACTATAACTCTAATAATTTTGAAAACTAAGGGGAGATAAGCTATAGCAGTAAAATGCAGCTGAGAAATTCTTCATAAAAACTTAGAGGCTGGTAGCCAGTCTAGGTCATTTGGCTGACTTGTGGCTTTCTAGTGTTAAACCAAAGGTGAAAAAAACCTAAAAGCCTTGTCTAAAGTGTTTGGGAAAAAATGAAGTCGTTATTCATTGTCATTAATACACAATATGTTTAATGCAAAAAGGCTGCCCGTCAAGCGTGCTATTCCGACATATATTCTCTTAAGGTCTTTTTTATAGTATTTTCTTTTTAAGTCGAGTTAAAGTCTTCTTTTACCATATGCCGTCTACTCAAAGAATATAACTGACAATTTTGGATCAATATTCTAGTGTCTGAGTATACCAGAGTTCCAGGCAGAGGACATGAGTCTGTAATTGTCTTTCTTTGTTTTTTTTTGAGTTTCAATGTTCAGGGGCCTGTTCGTTTATGCGGAACAACCGGTTTGACCGTTTATAAATGTAACAATTTCGGGTATAAATCCTGACGGACCTGCAAATGTTTATGCGGGCCTTGCAAGGCTTTGTTAAGGCTCGCCTGAATGCAGCATCAGATGACTAGTTCCGACCTTATGTAATAAACGAACAACTGTGGTCCGACCGGTTTGGCCGTTTAAACGAAAACGGCCCAGGCAAACAAATTAACACAATGCATCGCGTTCATTAGTACTAGTTGGACCGAGGTTTAATGTAAAAAGTACTTGTTCTGTCATAACTACAATGTGTCCAAGGTTTATCTAGAATACATTAGCCGACAACAATACCTTCTTAATTTCAAAGTGACAAAGCAAGTATGGAACATAAGACATACAAAAACTGACAGAAAAACATAAACATTCTTTAAAAAGAGGTGTAAGAAGTCGCTACATGCACTGAAGACCACAGATGTTTTAACTACTTTACACAGACAAACGTATGTAAAACGTAGAAACATGGTAACTAGTATGTGCAATTAGTGCGAATAAACCTTAACATAGCATAATCTCCGACAATCAACTCCAGTACGTGAACAACATTTGCTAGTTAACGACAAAAAAACCTACATCAAACTCGAAATTTCGCCCAGGTGGGAAATCGTGCTTTGTGATAAACAATGCAGGGTGAGTAATAATGCAGGGTGAGTAATTGTGCAGAGTGAGAAATCGTGCAGGGTGAAAATGGTGTAGAGTGAGAAATCTTGTAGGGTGAGAAATGGTGTAGAGTGAGAAATCGTGCAGAAATCGTGCAGGGTGAGAAATCGTGCAGAGTAAGAAATCGTGCAGGGTGAGAAATGGTATCATGACTAATTTCATTGAAGGAACTTTCATATACTTGTTCACCACAGATAACACCAAGTATGGCATGTCCTGAGACCATAGATAAACAGGAAACCAGAAAAACTGACCTAGTTGTGGCATTGGACTTCGGGACAACTTATTCCGGATATGCCTACTCTTTTCGAAACCAATTTGAGTCCAACAGCTTGGACGTGACTCTGAACCCTGCGTGGACCACTACCACGGACGGATTGCTGTCTAAAAAGACGCCAACGTCACTCTTGCTTAATCCGAAAGGGGAGTTGTATGCATTCGGAACCAAAGCAGACGACAAGTTTGCGGAATTAGCATGTGAAGACGAGCATCGGGACTGGTACTACTTCCGGAGATTTAAGATGAAACTGCACTCAAAAAAGGTAAACAAAAGTTCCGATAATATCAAAACTAATTTGTTTCTCGTTTAAAATACAGCAAGCTTTAACTCGTACCGAAATAATGTACTCTCAATAACTTTATGTTGCAGAAAAAGATGCATAGAAGAATAAGATATCACATTAACATAAAGTTTTCTATGAAAGAAAATCTAATCAAAACTTGGTTTGGAGTAAATGTAAAGTAAGGAATACTTTAATATTGAAGCTATTGGTTTGTTACCAGGAGGTAAAAAGAGGTCTTAAGATGAAAGACGAACTTGGAAAGCCAATGTTAGCCTCCACCGTCTTTAGTTTGGCTATTCGGGGTTTGAAAGACCACTGTCTAGAAACCCTAAAGGCCCACGAAGCGTTCAATCCGGACTCCACTCACATTGTCTGGGTCCTCACCGTGCCTGCGATATGGAGAGATTCGGCGAAGCAGTTCATGCGCGAGGCAGCCGTGGAGGTGGGTGAGATGCAGCACCACTAAACTAACTGCCGAATAGAGCAGCATAGGAAATACTTTGTCATACTGTCTATATCGTTACTCCATTTGGCTTGAACGCATTACTGTACAACTGAAAGGCGTTCCATATTTGAAAGTTAATTCTTCTTTGTCCCTTTATTACTGATTAAAGTTCACACAATTTGTACCTGGTAGGTCATGAAACTCATCAGTTGGAATTGCCCGAATGAAACAACATAACATTGCGACCAGCTTAGTTGTTTTTAATGCCATAGTAATGTGACGTCACTATTCCATCGTCTTATTGGTATTGACATTGCTAGTCATTGTATGTTATGCATGCGACTTCAGGAAGTGAATCAAACATTAACATGGGAAAATTGATTGTAATCTTTTCAGAAAATATAATTTGCCCAAAAAGAAAAAAACTGAGTATGTATAGAATGTAATACCAAACATGTCTTTATTTGACTTCTCACCTAATTCTCGTGTATTACGGAGAATTACAGGTCCAATTGCTCGTTGATGTATTCGTTCGAATTAAAAACGGAGACGTTAGATGTATTTTCTTCTTTAATCCAGTTAGGAGGAAGAATACGAAAACATATCTCTGTCATTAAAATTTAAACTTCAGTTGGTTATTGCATTCGCTAAAAACGATTTAACTTATTAAATTGTGAATACAGTACTTACGTAACCCTATGTCTAAACTCACAGGCAGGGATCAACGGCCATGACCTCGTTTTAGCACTGGAACCGGAAGCTGCTTCAGTATTTTGCCAGCTGCTACCAATTGAAAAACTTCACACTAACAGAAAGGAGCGCTTCAGTGTGAGTCGTACCGGCGCCGTCTTCATGGTGGTCGATTTGGGAGGTAAGTATAGTTTACTTAAGGATTGAATCCTGTTTTATTGAGGTTTATTGGGTATACACCTCAATAGGTCCTGAGACAAATTTGCAGTTCATATTGAATTTGTCAAGACCCATTGAGGTTAATACCTAGTCCTAGCATCACCAATGAGTCCTAGTCCTAGCAGTATCAATGAGTCCTAGTCCTAGCAGTATCAATGAGTCCTAGTCCTAGCAGTATCGATGAGTCCTAGTCCTAGCAGTATCGATGAGTCCTAGTCCTAGCAGTATCGATGATTCCTAATCCTAGCAGTATCGATGAGTCCTAGTCCTAGCACCACCGTTCCTAGAAGGACAAAACAGCTGTATGAAGCAGTGTAATTCCGTTTTTGCATATTGTATCTATAAGTAAACTTTGAAGATCAATCACTTGTGTGTGTGTGTTACATTCATGTTATAAACGTTAATACAATTAACTACTATACATTCCAAATGCCTTTTAAATTTCTACATGAAACTTATTTAACCATGCTGTTGTAGGCGGGACTGCTGATATCACGGTACAACGCCGCGAGAACGACGGTACCCTGTGTGAGATGTATGCAGCAACCGGAGGCCCTTGGGGCGGAGTGGGCGTCGATCGGCAATTCATGATTTTCATAACGAAACTGATGGGACCGGATGTGATGACACGCTTCTCCAAGGAAAACTCGGAAGACCTGATGGACATGTACAGATGTCTGGAGACCTGTAAGCGGACCATCCGTCCAGAAAGTACAGGAAATGTCACAATTGATATCCCTGGCACTCTTACGGATATTTACAAAGACGTTTTCGACGAACGGTTTGGTTCAAACTTCCCTGAAGAATTTGAAAAAAGAATAAAATTTAATCACGGTAAACTAAAAGTCGATGTCCAGATTATAAAGGACTGTTTTACTTTCGTTATCGACGAAATCATAAAACATGTAAAAGATATTTTGTCAGAACCAAGCTGCTCAGGAATCAAAAGCATTCTGATGGTAGGGGGCTTTGCTGACTCTGACATGGTGTCCTCTGCCATGGTGAACGCTTTCAAAAACTGTCGAATTGTCATTCCACAGGATTCTGAGACCGTCGTCCTCTGCGGCGCAGTGATATATGGTCACTCCCCAGGAACTATTTCTACTCGCGTCGTTAGATATACGTACGGTGTTAGTTATATGGTTGACTTCGAGCAAAATCAACATCCTGATGCTAAAAAAGTAGTGAAAGAAGGCGAAGCTCCAAAATGTAAAGACCTGTTTGAGATCTTTGTACAAATGGGGTCGCCTGTCAAAACTGGGGAGGCGATATCAAAAGTGTACAGTCCTGCCCGAAATGACTCGAAAATAATGGTTATTAAGGTGTACGCCTCAAGTAAAAAAGACCCTGAATTCGTAACGGACGAAGGGTGTTGGCGACTGGGGAAGTTGGTTGTGGATCTACCAGACTCAAACAAAAACTCCAATCTAGAGATACATGAGCGCATGATCTTCGGAGAGACGGAGCTCCGGGTTGAAGCAGTGGAACCGGTGTCCGGTAAAACCTTCTCGGCGCGGTTTGACTTCCTCTGACGTGATGGATTTCCTGTAGTAACAGTAGTGACCACAGGCAACCGTTCACTTTAAAGCTTATCGTTGCAAATTCATCTCAAGTGACACTCACTTAAACATTATATACATAATGTGACTTATGTACATGTATCAGATTGCATTATCCTTAACACTATCCGAAGTCTTGGATGCTGGCAAAGGCACGAACCAATCGCAAATGATGAACAAAATACCTTGCGCGATGTGACTAAGATTTAATCGGCTCTTACATAGGATGAAGGGTAAACTGCTAGCAGCATTCAGGTGGTTGGTAAAATACTCACAATTTTACTTAAATGGTGTCGTTTTTATATTGCTGTTGAGTACAAATCCTAATAGAGCGATAAGCCATATAAAGGAATTTCCAGTTTAACGAGTTTGAACATACGGTACACTGGATATAAATAGCTGAATCATATCTTCAGTGGAAAAGGGGTTAAGAATAAGACATATATGCTGTAGTCGTTCATCAACTGAAACAGCACGAGAGTATTTTGTGTTCTATGTACTTCAATGAAATTGTAATGACTTTTTAAACCGTTCTATCTGTTAAAATAGTCTATCAATTTGAAGACCGTTCTTTTTACAAACATTACAGTAACATGTTTGACCCTTCTGTCTATATAAGCTTTGAAATAGCGTGTTAGGCTGATTTGTTCAGCCCTTACACATCCTGTATTTCTTTTAAGTCTGTTACTATGACTCGCAAAACGTGTTAATAAAGAGTTGTTCACCCATTCCCCGATATTTTAAAATAAATTAAGAGACAAGAATTTCCGTTCATTTCTTTCTCATAATTTTTTTTTTTTTTTAAATCATTATAGACCAGACTTTCAGAAATGTATCAAGCGTTTTTCCCGTCACTGTTTCAACCTTTGATATTAAATCAATACAGTTGTGTCTTTGATCATATTGATTTTCGAGTTTTGCTCAGGAAAATTTACAAGTGCGTCTTTAACATGTTGTATATCGTGAAATATATGAGATTTTTGGTAAACAACTCTTATTCAACATGTCTTCCGATACCTAGTTACACAAGTTCTGAGAACTAGGCGGGTGTTTGAGCGGTGTAGGAGCAGTTTCGATGTGTAACGGTCTCTAAACATTACTATATACGGAGAGGATCTGATATATAGGCCTTCACCGATACCTGGAATTAACTTACTGCAAGCTTGACTGCACCAGACACACATTGTGTATACACAAACACACATGTTAAGTAACTCTGGGTACATCTCTGAAATATGATACTGTCACAACGTCAAAGTGTAACCATTACAGGTTTTAACCCTGCTTGTTCTGTACAGGGTTACATGTATGGAGTAAAATCATAAAAGGGTCACGAGACGAATCATCTTAAGAAGCAATTTGTATCATATTTGTGTTGAGGCTCTTTAAGGTTTACAACCCATAAACTTCAACAGAACAGGATTCAATCCTTCTATGCATTCATTGATTTGTTATTTTGTAATTTTTTTTTCATAATGTTATAGATATCGTTGGTACATTTTACCTAGCGTGTGACGTCATCACCGTATGGAAAGTAGCTACTTAGTATTAACAATATCAAAAAAACATGTTAAGCATGTGTATTTTAATTATATACTTCTGACAACTTATTGAAAATAAACTATAAATGGAACTTCTGTTACCTTGCTGACGTATTTATAAGTTTATCGAAAGATAAGATGTAAATATTAATGTTTACCTCACTCCAGTTATTGTAATATTAAATTGACTAACTAATATAATGTGTATTTTATATCTGCTAGTTAATATGTTTATCACTGAAAGGTTTACCTTTTCACGTGATCAATAATCAGAAGAATAGTCCTATAAAAAGGTTTTTGTTATTTCAAATATTACAACATTGTACCTTTCAAATCAACCCTGTAATGTGTTCACAAAGTTTGGATTTATTTTGTATTGTACTTGCTTTGTTTTTGGTTTGTTTTAATACACTGTACATGTATTATCCCGTGTTAGAGTATTATATTTGGGCTCATATCAGTTGCATGGCTTGTGATGTATTGTTGTTGTTATAGTATAGATCATTCAAAAACGCTTCTTGACAAACTCCCTTTCGGTGACATTCAATAAGACCGTTGATGTATATTGTGACTTCCGGAACGAATAACATCATCATCAACTCAGCATCTGATATCCGGCAAAAGGACGGCTCGGTCGCCGACGAGAAGCAAACCATTTCAGTTGGGTGTGACTTGTAAAAAAAGACAGCACCTTCCAAGTAGGGTCTAACTAGAAGTGATACTCCGATCTTCACTCTGGTGACAAGTTAAATACACCTGAAATATACATGTGTTTGTTTTTTAGTGATGTTTTGTTCTATTTATATTTTCATGAACAACTTTGAGATGAGTTTGAACTGGTGTGCTGTGTAGATAAAAAAAAACTTCTAAGAAAACACTACATACTTATTTAACGAAAATGCGCTTGAATGTTTATGGGACACGTATGTTATAGCCGTTCAACAAGTTCACCCCTACCTTTATTTTAATTGCTAGGACCAATAATAACAATGACAATTTCCAAGTTCAATATAATAGCACGTAATTGCAATAACGCTATCGGCTCTTCTGTCCATAAACAATAGGAAAAAATATCCTAGACCGTTCTGTCTGTCGAAACAATAATATAGCCCATACAAACAATAGCATTTTAGACCGTTTCAGCTATATAATCAATACAAATATACTTTTACATCACTCTTTTTTGTGGACTGTACAGTGTTAACTCTGGCCTTAAAGGCAAACTTGAATGTAAAATACACCACCTGTAAGAGGTTTGGTAAGCTACTATTGATCAAACTCTTGTCCGATACTTGGAAACACGTGTTCCGGGAACAAGACTGGGTGTTTGCGCTGGGTAGGAGCTAGAAGCCTCGATACATAATAGGTTTCTACGACAGCTAAATACATGTATGGGATCAGCTATGTAGGAGCCGTCACCGATACCGGGGGACTTACTGCAAGCTTTGCTGCACTAGACACACGCTAACACAAACACACATGTGTGACAATTCTAGGTAACACCCTTGTGATATCGTGAAATATGATATGGGTTACAATGTGAACGTGTAATCATTGCATTGTAATGTGGGCTATCTCACTTACTCCAGTTCTTGTGATAATGCATTAAAAAGTATGTTTATCACTGGAAGTTGATATGTTTACCGCTAAAAGGGTTAATATTTCGCAATGATAAATAGTTAGAGGAATACCTCCTCTTAATAGCTTTCCTTAAACTCTATAATGTGTTCACATTGTTTTGGTATATTTTGTTTGTACATGTTTTGGTTTATTAAAATAACATTTCATCCTGCATGAAGGCATTGCATTATCAATACCCCAGGAGTACACATATGCAGTTTTGTTTTTTAATTTGTAACATACATAGTTGTATAATCCCTGTATCAACTATCACTTTAAAAAAGAAGATATTTTCCACCTACTCTACATACACTACATGTGTATGTGTGGAGCGTAACTTCTGGAGTTTGGAGGATGGATCAAAGACAAATAGGCATACAAAGTGAACGATGAGTAGACAATTGACGTCTACATAGACTTGATAGAAAGTAGGGAAGACAATATCATACGTCTGATATAGCGTCCAACGTTGTTCTACTGCCTACAGCGTGAACGTAATGGGTAGTTAAAGGTACGTAGCCAGCAGACTCAATGAAGTATAACTTGCCTGTTAGGCCAAATACAAATATAACTGTGTTTCCCGTTTCCCAACCGACTCTTAATTTTTCATACCGACCCTAATTAATTTTATTGGTTTTTCACAGTCATTGTTATGCATTGATTAGAAGTTTAATTGTTCAAAGTTTACATATAGTTTGCCATGCATTTTATTAGCATTGGCTCGTGGTCAGTAAGAGTTTTATTTGAAGATGGTAGCTAAGTAGCCGTAGATAATTGTGGTAATGATACAGACAATGGGATCTGTAAATTAGTGTGACCGTCTGTAGTGTAGGTGGGGGAAGTCCAGTCTGTGATGTCAGTGTTTGTGCCTCTATATATAGCTAGGTGGGGGAAGTCCAGTCTGTGATGTCAGTGTTTGTGCCTCTATATATAGCTAGCTGATGCTGGCCGCTGGAGTCAGCGAGATTTATGGCCAGTTAAACTAGTCCTAAAGGGGTCGAATTTTAGCAGGATTTCAGCGGCATCAACAATGTTAACGTATCAACATTTTAAATGTAGCAGGATTTTGCTAATGGACAATTAGTAAGGTAGCTCAGCTTGGGAGTCAAAGGAGAACAAAATAGTTGGGTTGGTGAGTTGATTTAAGGAGTCTTTAAGAAGGAGGTTGAGAATTAGAGAGACCGAGTTGAGAGGTCTAGAGATATAGAGGAGAGTTAGAAAGTTAGAGTTAAAGTGAGAATTAGGAAGTTACTGTAGCTATAATGAACTTGTGTTGTAGATATAGTGTAAATATAAATGCACTTGATTTGTTTTTCAATTAGGTTGAACTGGTGACAGTGGACATTGAGAACAGAGTAACACAGGTGGCCATCATTTGAGTTTGGATTACTTAAAACTAGTGTGCTAGTAAGGATACTTTAGAAATGTAACACTGGTTGTAGCTCCATAAATATTTAGGTGGGTCAAATTATAATTTACTTCAATATGTGTCCTTTGAGCCTGCCCAACACAAAAACTAGGAATGCAAGGATTTTTTAATATGTGTATTTATTTTACATGAATAAAAAATGATATATTTGGTGTCATTCATACCTTATTAAAACAATACCATATTTTTAACATTCATAGAGGAAATCAGAAGATTTTCTTAACCAGAAAAATAAATAAAATAAAAAAATAAAATATAATGTTTTTCCTACCTACTTACATGTACCGTACTTATTTTGGGAGCCGAAACAGGAAACACACATATACTTTTATTTGGCCTTATCAAAAACAATAAGTGTTAACATAACCTAAATGTATACTCAAAATCGATAAAACCTGGACAAAACATGAACAAATGAGAGATTCACATGAAACATTGAACAATACAAGGTGAGTAAGATCAGGTGTAATCAATTATGGTTCTTATATGAATTTCACAGTGGTAGGTCTTTATTAATTACTAAGTATTGAGATCAGATAGCGTACCGGTGGATCAGGATTTAAGCAGTTTCTGTTGTGATATAGTGATGAAGGAAATCGTTGTCTAAGGTTGTTCCTTAATGTAACTGGTCTTTAACCACTTTTGTAGTATGTTCATATTTGTACCAATTCATTCACATTGTTGTTCTCTGTTCCTAATTGTAACTGATTGTTACCGTTATTGTATTTTTATTCTAGTTATAGCAGGCTATTAACATTGTTGTAGCTTGTTCCTTATTTTAACTGATCTTAACCACTTTTGAAGTATCTTCCTAGCTTCCACAAGTCAGTAACTTTGATGTACGTTGTTCCTTATCAACTGGTTGTTATCGGTTTTGTACTTTGTTCCTAGTTGTAACAGGCCAGTAACAATGTTGTACTTTGTTCCTTATTAACTGGTTGTTATCGGTATTGTACTTTGTTCCTAGTTGAAACAGGCCAGTGACAATGTTGTACTTTGTTCCTTATTAACTGGTTGTTATCGGTATTGTACTTTGTTCCTAGTTGAAACAGACCAGTAACAATGTTGTACTTTGTTCCTTATCAACTGGTTGTTATCGGTTTTGTACTTTGTTCCTAGTTGTAACAGGCCAGTAACAATGTTGTACTTTGTTCCTTATCAAGTGGTTGTTATCGGTATTGTACTTTGTTCCTAGTTGTAACAGGCCAGTAACAATGTTGTACTTAACTGGTTGTTATTGGTATTGTACTTTGTTCCTAGTTGTAACAGGCCAGTAACAATGTTGTACTTTGTTCCTTATTAACTGGTTGTTATCGGTATTGTACTTTGTTCCTAGTTGTAACAGGCTAGTAACAATGTTGTACTTTGTTCCTTATCAACTGGTTGTTATTGGTATTGTACTTTGTTCCTAGTTGTAACAGGCCAGTAACAATGATGTACGTTGTTCCTTATCAACTGGTTGTTATCGGTTTTGTAATTAGTTCCTAGTTGTAACAGGTGTTTGACATTGCCGTATTCTTTGTTACTTTTGATGCATCCCTGCATGTAATACATGTACATCTTTTACAGTGGTTAATTTGTTCCTATGTATACCTGGTCGTTAACGTGGATGTTATCCGCCCTACTTTGTATCGATCAGATCAACAAAAATATAGCTTTTTCTTCTACGAAGTATATAAAAAGGAGAAATGTACCAACTGTTGAGTAATCCCCCTTTAATCGTGGAGGTGAATAAGACGTTATTGTCATAATAATAATCGAATCCAGAAAACAGTTTCGACCTATTTACCTTCATATCACCGTGTGTTACATGTATGTATCACAATGGTATGTTCATGGCTTACAAGTCACAACATTGTTCATCACTACAAAGAATACTAGATCAAATCAGGGGAAAATCATATAATGAAAGTCAGTCTACAGCACAACATAACTGGACATTTTATGTTAAGTTGTGTTGAGGAATTCAGATGGTAGTGTGAAACATTCGTCCAGTCTAGGGGAAACCTGTCCCTGACACACATGTACAGAAGTCAATGGTCCAGAAAATCGAATGTTGCCATAAGAGGTCTACCATTTTCTTCACAAGCCTCTACTGCAAGCTCCGTATCACCAAACGTCATTTTGACCTCAATCACGGTGTTCTCGTCCGATCCCGGGGACAGCGGTACGTCGATCTTGCCGAGATAGTTACACAACGGGTCAGTTGTGTATCGGGGGTTCTCATCGTCGGAGGTAAATATCTTCACTACCACACTAGTCGAGTCTGCGTAAAGGGGACGGTACGTCTGTGTCTCGAGCGCCTCTCCGACTGAGACTGTTTGATTTACCTCCACGTGTTTGGAGAAGACAGTACTGCATTTATCGATCCCTCTGACGTTGATTCGTTTTTCGACAGGATCACCTGACTTGAAGTTGCGTGTGATTGAAATACCGTAGGTATACTTCGATTTTCGTGAGATGATGGTGAGTGGGTTGTGTCCGAACAGCACGGCACCCTTCACCACTGCCAGACCCGCTTCCTCTGGGATGATCACACGTTTGTCTGAGAGGTTAGATTTGATTGCGTCCTGTATGAGGACACACTCCGAGAAGCCGCCAACCATCAACAAAGTGTTGACATTTCTGCAAGCTTCGTTCTTCAACAGGTCTCTTACATGTTGTACAATGCTATCAGCTGACAGTGCAAATAGGTTCCTAATTATTTCCGGGTCAACTCTTAGTTTGTCGCCGGTCCAGTTCATCTTTCCCTTGAAGTTGGTCTGTTTGATTGTTTCTTTAAGTGTAGTGCCGAATTCTTCCTCATACGCCTCGTCTAGTTGGATCGGCATCCTGAGCGTCACCCGGTTGCTACAACTGTTTGTGATCGTCCTCTTTTTCGTTTCAAACTCTCTAAATAGTTCTAGTTCGTCACCCGGGTAGTTTTCCTTAAACGTCTTCATGACATTTGTTCCTACGACTTCAACCAGAAGCTGGAGGAAGGACTCATCTACTTTGGTCCCGCCCCAGGCACCCCCGCTTGCCTTGAATACCTCCTCTAGGTTCCCCTCCTCAAGGACTCTTTGGACCGTCACATCAACAGTACCACCTGTAAGTAAGAAAATAAACTACACAGTGTCACGTGTTGGTAGTAATTAACGAGATAATTGCACATTGTCACTTGTTGGTATTAATTAACCGGAGAACTAAAGTCTGGTAACAAATTAAATATCATAATAACTTAAGATCAATGCGCTTATTACGTGAGACAGCATGCCTCAATTCACTGAAGACTAATTTTACGAACGACTGATAATTTACTATCTCTAGCTATACACTGTATACCGGAAAACATTCGCCCTTTGCAACTAAAATCAATTTCCGATCAGTGTTTATTTCGCTCTTCATACGAATACGAATTATGTATTAATGATACATTCGCCTTCTTTTACGAAGGGCGAAAAAGGCGAAAAGTAAAACGCGGCGTAAACTTCCAGGAATACGGTACATTTCAGTTCTAGAAGGACCGCATCGATTCTCTTATCGTTGGAAGACCCTTGAAAAGGTACAGCAAAATAACACAACTACGGAGAAGTTATACAGCTTGAGAACTCAAGATTTGGAAAAGGAATGGCCTGCTGTATGTACTCAACTGTATGATCGTGAAAGATAACTTATATTGGCGACCAACAAAATCGATGGCTTTCCTTTTTGCCTTTTTATAGTAGGGAACAAGGAGAATATAACTGATTTTTCTTCGTCTAAGGAAAATCTTCAGATTTACAGCTTTCCATGTACCTCTATCTGGTTGTTCCAGTGTCAGACTTACGTGACGTCATACTTGTACGTCCATGTACACGTGGTGATATTACAGTACCGAGGCCTTGTTATGTGAGTGGCCATACAGACAGACAAGGCTATAGACATAACATAATAATCTTAGATATTGTTGACACGTGAATCTTCTCCCCTCTAGCTCGGATCTAGAGTGACTGGATTTTTATTAAAAAAAACCACTCAACTATCTATATTTGTATTTGTTAGTTTTGAATTGTTGATTTACCACAATATAGCCTAAACTTGTTCTTACCTAACAAAATGTATTCTATCTCAACACTATACAAACCTCCGAGATCCAGAACCATATATTCAGTCCCCGGACTAAACATCCCAAGACATTTTCCAGACCCAGTGTCTAGTTTTTCGACCGGAAGTATTCTGCAGAATAGAGCAGCGGCTTCCGGTTCTAAGGCGATAGACAACTGGTGTTCCTTTATACCAGCCTACAATAACAAACAACCATGATTGTACGACCAAACGAATATGCGACAATTTTCAAGAATATTTCATATTTAAAACAAAAGATATACTTATCTTTAGCCCAGTATAACATGACACATATTCACCTAGCTGTAATCCAGTATAATAGCATGCATATACCTAGTCAATATAACATATTACACGCATTCTCACGCCAATATATTATTTCCATTTGCTCTGCATTGCCACAATATAACCTTACCAAACAAAAAAGAAAGATATCATATCATACTTCTCACATAATTCCCATTGGTGTAGTGATAGGAAGAACACATTCGTGGCGTTGTGACTAAATGACGTCGGGCTGACCGACGTCACTATATTTTAAGTGTTATTATTGACGTCACGTAAAAATTGTCGTTTGCCAGAAAACGGCAACATGCAAACAACACATCAACGCAAATAAATCTTCATTCCACAAACACGGTACTCTCGGATTCTTCACAAACGCAACATTTTCCGGCTGCACTTTCAATTTCAATCGCTAAATTCACTTTTCGTCTCCAGGCCAAACTACGATTTCTACAATAATACGGATTCCTCGTGGTAACCCATCCGTGCTACCGGATTAAAAAAACCAGTTGATTAATGTAACTCGCATCAATTTGTGTAGTTATGTTGTTTAAAAGGTGAATATCCTCACGGTGGAATATATTAAATAAATTGTTGAAATTAAATTGATGATTTTGTGTTTATTTTCATTGACTACATTTTTTGCCGGAACCGTCACAAGAACAGGCCGGTCCCATTGACAGAAAGCGCGAAATTTGACTTTGAAATGCGATAATATCCTTAAATATTTATATGTTACATTACTATGTCAATATAACATGTTACACGCGTTCAGTTCAGTATATTATACGTTACATTCTCACGTCAGTATAAGACCGTTTTCATGTTGCATAATTAATATAAGTTTGCCTCTTTATAGAAAGCAATTGCCCAGGACAGCATTTTGTGATTAAAAAGATAAAATCGGATCAACGAAATAAGAAGAATTATAAAGTAATAGTTTGATATGAGAAGAATGATCGACCCCTGAATGAATCTTCCCTATGGTTGGAATCACGTACAATGAGCTAATTATCACTTTATTCTTAATGATTGAAATTACTTACAATACGCCAACTATCAGTATTATCTTTATGATTGAAATCACGCATACTTAGCCGATTTTCAGTATTATATAACTGATTAAATCACTTAAAATAAGCCAATTATCTATATTATCTAAATGATTGGAATCACTTACAATAAGCCAATTATCAGCATAATCTTTATGATTGAAAGCACGTACAATTAGCATATTATCAGTATTATTTTTATGATTGAAATCATAAGTATTAATAAGCCAATTATCGGTAGTATCTTAGTGATTGAAATCACTGACAATTAGCTAATTGTCAGTATTATCTTTATGATTGAAATCACGTACAGTTAGCCCATTATCGGTATTATCTTTATGATTGAAATCACGTACAGTTAGTCCATTATCGGTATTATCTTTATGATTGAAATCACGTACAGTTAGCAAGTTCTCAGTATTATCTTGATGATTGAAATCACGTACAATAAGGCAAGTATCAGTATTATCTTTATGATTTCAGTATTAACTTTATTGTACAAGTGTAATCAATCATCAGCGTCAACATATTGCTAATACATGTGTAACAAACATAAGTTACCTTTTGTGCAGCCTCCCGCATGAATTGTTTGGCACTGTCGTTCCAGATTGCGGGGACAGTGAGGACCCAGTGAATGTAGCGCTCGTCATCTATTGCCTCGTATATTCCCTTTGTGTGTAGGTGCTTCATCAGGTGGTCCTTCAGAAACTTGATTCCGTGGGCGAATATGTCCCGGGCGGGCATTTCTTTCTTGTTGGTGATATCTGGTATCATATGGTCCCGCCGGAGGTTCTATTGAATATTTGTAAACATATATCATAAAAAGGAAATAAATATAGGATCTTAAATAAGCTTTCATTTCATATGCGATTTTATGAAACGAGTCTTGGGAGTTTTTATTTTTGCGAGCCTTGGCGAGCAAAAATTAAACTTCGAGACAAGTTTACGATTCCTAATTTATGACGTCACGTCATTGTCCATATTATGACGTCACAATCGATTTCTGACTGGCACAGCCAATGCAAAACGCTCAAGGGTATACTCGCTAGTGACATATGTGAAAATATTACAGGGGCGAATTCACTTGATAACAGGCCGATTATGTGATAAATAGTTTTGTTTATATAAATAATATAATGTTCATGATTTTCCTTTTAATATATTATCGAGAATGATTTATGATTAATCTCATTTGATAAAGCGTTTTACAAGAGGTCCCTACATGTATGTCGGCGCCAATGTAATATATGTCATTATTTTTTCAATCCTTACGCTGAGAGGTCGAATTTGGGACCTTTGGATTAATTGTCTTACGCTCTACCAAATGAGCTAATGTTTTAACAGCTTGACATAAAATCGCCATTACATAGATGTCGGGTGTGACTGACAAAACAATACTTGCGTTGCTTCAAGTTACCTTTACATGAGATTATTTTACAACTATTGGATTAAATTTCATCGCAATTCAATCGCCTGTAAAAGAACCCAATTAAATCTGTATACCTCCTCATTTAAGATATAACACAGCACTTGGTTAGTCAATACAGTTAAGTTTCGATAGCATAAACACTGTATACATGTCTTGCTGTAGAATATAAATATATATATACGCATTATTTCTGCTGTTTGAAAAAGGCGACAACGTGTCACTTTCATCTCGTTTTGATTGACCACGCATTTCTAAACAAGTAGCGAAGGCAACATCACCGGTAATCCTCTTGCAGTTGCAACGTTATAAAATGCGTTTGTGAACGAAAGTAAATTTGTTATAGGATAACTCTGCTTTCTTTAGAGATTTGATGGGATAACTCTGCTTTCTTTAGAGATTTGATAGGATAACTCTGCTGTGTTTAGAGATTTGATAGGATAACTCTGCTGTGTTTAGAGATTTGATGGGATAACTCTGCTTTCTTTAGAGATTTGATAGGATAACTCTGCTTTCTTTAGAGATTTGATAGGATAACTCTGCTTTCTTTAGAGATTTGATAGGATAACTCTGCTTTCTTTAGAGATTTGATAGGATAACTCTGCTTTCTTTAGAGATTTGATAGGATAACTCTGCTTTCTTTAGAGATTTGATAGGATAACTCTGCTTTCTTTAGAGATTTGATAGGATAACTCTGCTTTCTTTAGAGATTTGATAGGATAACTCTGCTTTCTTTAGAGATTTGATAGGATAACTCTGCTTTCTTTAGAGATTTGATAGGATAACTCTGCTTTCTTTAGAGATTTGATAGGATAACTCTGCTTTCTTTAGAGATTTGATAGGATAACTCTGCTTTCTTTAGAGATTTGATAGGATAACTCTGCTTTCTTTAGAGATTTGATAGGATAACTCTGCTTTCTTTAGAGATTTGATAGGATAACTCTGCTTTCTTTAGAGATTTGATAGGATAACTCTGCTTTCTTTAGAGATTTGATAGGATAACTCTGCTTTCTTTAGAGATTTGATAGGATAACTCTGCTTTCTTTAGAGATTTGATAGGATAACTCTGCTTTCTTTAGAGATTTGATAGGATAACTCTGCTTTCTTTAGAGATTTGATAGGATAACTCTGCTTTCTTTAGAGATTTGATAGGATAACTCTGCTTTCTTTAGAGATTTGATAGGATAACTCTGCTTTCTTTAGAGATTTGATAGGATAACTCTGCTTTCTTTAGAGATTTGATAGGATAACTCTGCTTTCTTTAGAGATTTGATAGGATAACTCTGCTTTCTTTAGAGATTTGATAGGATAACTCTGCTTTCTTTAGAGATTTGATAGGATAACTCTGCTTTCTTTAGAGATTTGATAGGATAACTCTGCTTTCTTTAGAGATTTGATAGGATAACTCTGCTTTCTTTAGAGATTTGATAGGATAACTCTGCTTTCTTTAGAGATTTGATAGGATAACTCTGCTTTCTTTAGAGATTTGATAGGATAACTCTGCTTTCTTTAGAGATTTGATAGGATAACTCTGCTTTCTTTAGAGATTTGATAGGATAACTCTGCTTTCTTTAGAGATTTGATAGGATAACTCTGCTTTCTTTAGAGATTTGATAGGATAACTCTGCTTTCTTTAGAGATTTGATAGGATAACTCTGCTTTCTTTAGAGATTTGATAGGATAACTCTGCTTTCTTTAGAGATTTGATAGGATAACTCTGCTTTCTTTAGAGATTTGATAGGATAACTCTGCTTTCTTTAGAGATTTGATAGGATAACTCTGCTTTCTTTAGAGATTTGATAGGATAACTCTGCTTTCTTTAGAGATTTGATAGGATAACTCTGCTTTCTTTAGAGATTTGATAGGATAACTCTGCTTTCTTTAGAGATTTGATAGGATAACTCTGCTTTCTTTAGAGATTTGATAGGATAACTCTGCTTTCTTTAGAGATTTGATAGGATAACTCTGCTTTCTTTAGAGATTTGATAGGATAACTCTGCTTTCTTTAGAGATTTGATAGGATAACTCTGCTTTCTTTAGAGATTTGATAGGATAACTCTGCTTTCTTTAGAGATTTGATAGGATAACTCTGCTTTCTTTAGAGATTTGATAGGATAACTCTGCTTTCTTTAGAGATTTGATAGGATAACTCTGCTTTCTTTAGAGATTTGATAGGATAACTCTGCTTTCTTTAGAGATTTGATAGGATAACTCTGCTTTCTTTAGAGATTTGATAGGATAACTCTGCTTTCTTTAGAGATTTGATAGGATAACTCTGCTTTCTTTAGAGATTTGATAGGATAACTCTGCTTTCTTTAGAGATTTGATAGGATAACTCTGCTTTCTTTAGAGATTTGATAGGATAACTCTGCTTTCTTTAGAGATTTGATAGGATAACTCTGCTTTCTTTAGAGATTTGATAGGATAACTCTGCTTTCTTTAGAGATTTGATAGGATAACTCTGCTTTCTTTAGAGATTTGATAGGATAACTCTGCTTTCTTTAGAGATTTGATAGGATAACTCTGCTTTCTTTAGAGATTTGATAGGATAACTCTGCTTTCTTTAGAGATTTGATAGGATAACTCTGCTTTCTTTAGAGATTTGATAGGATAACTCTGCTTTCTTTAGAGATTTGATAGGATAACTCTGCTTTCTTTAGAGATTTGATAGGATAACTCTGCTTTCTTTAGAGATTTGATAGGATAACTCTGCTTTCTTTAGAGATTTGATAGGATAACTCTGCTTTCTTTAGAGATTTGATAGGATAACTCTGCTTTCTTTAGAGATTTGATAGGATAACTCTGCTTTCTTTAGAGATTTGATAGGATAACTCTGCTTTCTTTAGAGATTTGATAGGATAACTCTGCTTTCTTTAGAGATTTGATAGGATAACTCTGCTTTCTTTAGAGATTTGATAGGATAACTCTGCTTTCTTTAGAGATTTGATAGGATAACTCTGCTTTCTTTAGAGATTTGATAGGATAACTCTGCTTTCTTTAGAGATTTGATAGGATAACTCTGCTTTCTTTAGAGATTTGATAGGATAACTCTGCTTTCTTTAGAGATTTGATAGGATAACTCTGCTTTCTTTAGAGATTTGATAGGATAACTCTGCTTTCTTTAGAGATTTGATAGGATAACTCTGCTTTCTTTAGAGATTTGATAGGATAACTCTGCTTTCTTTAGAGATTTGATAGGATAACTCTGCTTTCTTTAGAGATTTGATAGGATAACTCTGCTTTCTTTAGAGATTTGATAGGATAACTCTGCTTTCTTTAGAGATTTGATAGGATAACTCTGCTTTCTTTAGAGATTTGATAGGATAACTCTGCTTTCTTTAGAGATTTGATAGGATAACTCTGCTTTCTTTAGAGATTTGATAGGATAACTCTGCTTTCTTTAGAGATTTGATAGGATAACTCTGCTTTCTTTAGAGATTTGATAGGATAACTCTGCTTTCTTTAGAGATTTGATAGGATAACTCTGCTTTCTTTAGAGATTTGATAGGATAACTCTGCTTTCTTTAGAGATTTGATAGGATAACTCTGCTTTCTTTAGAGATTTGATAGGATAACTCTGCTTTCTTTAGAGATTTGATAGGATAACTCTGCTTTCTTTAGAGATTTGATAGGATAACTCTGCTTTCTTTAGAGATTTGATAGGATAACTCTGCTTTCTTTAGAGATTTGATAGGATAACTCTGCTTTCTTTAGAGATTTGATAGGATAACTCTGCTTTCTTTAGAGATTTGATAGGATAACTCTGCTTTCTTTAGAGATTTGATAGGATAACTCTGCTTTCTTTAGAGATTTGATAGGATAACTCTGCTTTCTTTAGAGATTTGATAGGATAACTCTGCTTTCTTTAGAGATTTGATAGGATAACTCTGCTTTCTTTAGAGATTTGATAGGATAACTCTGCTTTCTTTAGAGATTTGATAGGATAACTCTGCTTTCTTTAGAGATTTGATAGGATAACTCTGCTTTCTTTAGAGATTTGATAGGATAACTCTGCTTTCTTTAGAGATTTGATAGGATAACTCTGCTTTCTTTAGAGATTTGATAGGATAACTCTGCTTTCTTTAGAGATTTGATAGGATAACTCTGCTTTCTTTAGAGATTTGATAGGATAACTCTGCTTTCTTTAGAGATTTGATAGGATAACTCTGCTTTCTTTAGAGATTTGATAGGATAACTCTGCTTTCTTTAGAGATTTGATAGGATAACTCTGCTTTCTTTAGAGATTTGATAGGATAACTCTGCTTTCTTTAGAGATTTGATAGGATAACTCTGCTTTCTTTAGAGATTTGATAGGATAACTCTGCTTTCTTTAGAGATTTGATAGGATAACTCTGCTTTCTTTAGAGATTTGATAGGATAACTCTGCTTTCTTTAGAGATTTGATAGGATAACTCTGCTTTCTTTAGAGATTTGATAGGATAACTCTGCTTTCTTTAGAGATTTGATAGGATAACTCTGCTTTCTTTAGAGATTTGATAGGATAACTCTGCTTTCTTTAGAGATTTGATAGGATAACTCTGCTTTCTTTAGAGATTTGATAGGATAACTCTGCTTTCTTTAGAGATTTGATAGGATAACTCTGCTTTCTTTAGAGATTTGATAGGATAACTCTGCTTTCTTTAGAGATTTGATAGGATAACTCTGCTTTCTTTAGAGATTTGATAGGATAACTCTGCTTTCTTTAGAGATTTGATAGGATAACTCTGCTTTCTTTAGAGATTTGATAGGATAACTCTGCTTTCTTTAGAGATTTGATAGGATAACTCTGCTTTCTTTAGAGATTTGATAGGATAACTCTGCTTTCTTTAGAGATTTGATAGGATAATTCTGCTTTCTTTAGAGATTTGATAGGATAACTGTGCTTTCTTTAGAGATTTGATAGGATAACGCCCCTTTCCTTAGAGAATTGATAGGATAACGCCCCTTTCCTTAGAGATTTGATAGGATAACTCTGCTTTCTTTAGAGATTTGATAGAATAACTGTGCTTTCTTTAGAGATTTAATAAGATAACGCCCCTTTCCTTAGAGATTTGATAGGATAACGACCCTTTCTTTAGAGATTTGATAGGATAACGCCCCTTTTCTTAGATATTTGATAGGATAACGCCCCTTTCCTTAGTGATTTGATAGGATAACGCCCCTTCCTTTAGATATTTGATAGGATAACGCCCCTTCCTTTAGATATTTGATAGGATAACGCCCCTTCCTTTAGAGATTTTTGTCTGTATATCGAGATTTTACTGCTGGAAATATCCGTTGGTTTTTTTGGCATTACTCCCCGTTGCCTCTTAAACATAATTTGCGACACTATATTCAAAGCAACAAATGTAGAGTTATCCCCCGTATGTTTTTTCGAGTAAAATGTTATTGAACTACATGTACTCAGGCTTTTCCGTCTCATAAATATGCACGTGTTGGTTGAAAAAGAGTTATCATGTCTATACGGACCGACCTACCATATTGTTGTGTAGCGTCATTTTGAAGCGTTTGAAAAAGTACCAGTCCTCATGGCTGTCTTCCTGGAACAGTTCTGTATATTTGTCCTCAGCCTCGTAACCGAATGAGTCGAACGTTCGGTCGGGCTTCAGTAGTACACATGTCGGTGCTTTGAGGGAGAACAGATTCTTGTGTCCCGCAATCCACGTTTGGTTAGAGTTGATCTTGCTCGGATCTTTTATGAAGTCATGCCGGAAGGAGAAAGCATAGCCGGAATACGTGGTACCAAAATCAATGGCAGCTACGAACAGTCTGTCGGAACAACTAGGTGTTGGACGGGCGTATTTCGTCGCCATTTTCTGCAATAACATAAAAAATAGGGAGTACGGATTTCTCAAACCTTTACCGGTATTCCGATATAAGACGCTGGCGTACAATGGTATAATTGAATAGGGTACATAAATGCCATATCATTTTTTTATATATATAAATCGTGTGTGGCTGCTACTAACTTTGTTAGACCCAGTGGTAGAGAAAAGCGGGCTGAGTCTTGTTTATTGGGTGAGCGTCCTGTTACATTTAATAGCTAAGGTCATTAAAGGGCGTGTCACCATATGTGTAATATATGTATGTGCTGGAGGCGGTATGTTGGCGTATTTGCCTCCTTGCGATAGCACAAAGACAATGTATGATGCCGACATAAGAGTGCTACCACACTGTAATACCATACTAAAGGCACCCAGCACAGTACTCCACCCAAACACTATACTGACAACGGGTAAACCAGTTGTTGCACTAATTACCCGATCATACTTCTTAATATTTATAGCAGGTAACAAAAACTTCCATTTTAAAGGTCTTCGGTATGTACCGGCCTAGGACAGAACACTATAATATGTATTGGACGAGACGGCATGTACAAATATTTGCAAAATGTTGTTGAATATATAGGTAAGTGGTTGAAATGGGAAAAAACCCACTTTGGTATGTATGTTCAATCTGTAAGTAGATATGATTGATTGATTGATTGTACGTACGTGTGATTGCACATGTAGGTTAGTTTACATTGTATGAGAATGTGTGAATGTACATGTAGGTTAGTGTACATTGTATGAGAATAAGTGAATGTACATGTAGGTAAGTGTGCATTGTATGAGAATGTGTGAATGTACATGTAGGTTAGTTTACATTGTATGAGAATGTGTGAATGTACATGTAGGTTAGTGTACATTGGATGAGAATGTGTGAATGTACATGTAGGTTAGTGTACATTGGATGAGAATGTGTGAATGTACATGTAGGTTAGTGTACATTGGATGAGAATGTGTGAATGTACATGTAGGTTAGTGTACATTGGATGAGAATGTGTGAATGTACATGTAGGTTAGTGTACATTGTGTGAGAATGTGTGAATGTACATGTAGGTTAGTTTACATTGTATGAGAATGTGTGAATGTACATGTAGTTTAGTGTACATTGTATGAGAATGTGTGAATGTACATGTTGGTTAGTGTACATTGTATGAGAATGTGTGAATGCGTACACATATTTGTATATGTGCGGGTAGGTGGGCATTTATTATTATTTTTGTCGTTCGTTTGTTCAGAAAAAACTTTCCCATCTTATTTTTAATTTCATCAAGTCTGAAATGTCCTTATCGCGGGAAACGAAGATCCTTATTTCATGATGTCACGTCATTATTGTGGCGTCATGCATGTGAAATAGAGTGTAAGATAGAAATAGTTCACGCCCCTTTATTGACTTGGACAGTGAAGATAAGAACAGGAATGAGAGAGCTTACCGTCCTCATATGGACGAACGTTCTGGTTATAACCAAAAGTAAGGTATGTAATAACAGATCAGCGTTGGCAGATATCAGCGTGAGGGATGGAGGTGTATGGTAGTAAGGATGTATGTCTGACTACCAGTATCAGGTCCGAGGGTAGAGTATCAGCGTGAGAGATGGAGGTGTATGGTAGTAAGGATGTATGTCTGACTACCAATATCAGATCTGAGGGGAGAGTATCAGCGTGAAGGATGGAGGTGTATGTTAATAAAGATGTATGTCTGACTGCCAGTATCAGGTCCGAGGGTAGAGAATCAGCGTGAGAGATGAAGGTGTATGGTAGTAATGATGTATGTCTGACTACCAATATCAGATCTGAGGGAAGAGGATCAGCGTGAGGGATGGACGTGTATGGTAGTAAGTATGTATGTCTGACTATCAGTACCAGATCTGAGAGTAGAGTATCAGCGTGCGGGATGGAGGTGTATATTAATAAGGATGTATGTCTGTCTACAAGTATCAGGTCCGAGGGTAGAGTATCAGAGTGAGAGATGGAGGTGTATGGTAGTAAGGATGTATGTCTGACTACCAGTACCAGATATGAGGGTAGAGCATCAGCGTGAGGGATGGAGGTGTATGTTAATAAGGATGTATGTCTGACTATCAGTCCCAGATCTGAGGGTAGAGTATCAGCGTTGGCAGATATCAGCGAGAGGGATGGAGGTGTATGTTAGTAAGGACGTATGTCTGACTACCAGTATCAGATCTGAGGGTAGAGCATCAGCGTGAGGGATGGAGGAGTATGTTAATAAGGATGAATGTCTGACTACCAGTATCAGATCTGAGGGTAGAGTATCAGTGTGAGGGATGGAGGGGTATGTTAATAAGGATGTATGTCTGACTACCAGTACCAGATCTGAGGGTAGAGAATCAGCGTGAGGGATGGAGGTGTATGTCAGTAAGGCTGTATGTCTGACTACCAGTATCAGATCTGCGGGTAGAGTATCAGTGTGAGGGATGGAGGAGTATGTTAATAAGGATGGATGAGTGACTACCAGTATCAGATCTGAGGGTAGAGCATCAGCGTGAGGGATGGAGGAGTATGTTAATAAGGATGGATGAGTGACTACCAGTATCAGATCTGAGGGTAGAGCATCAGCGTGAGGGATGGAGGTGTATGTTAGTAAGGACGTATGTCTGACTACCAGTATCAGATCTGAGGGTAGAGTATCAGCGTTGACAGATATCAGCGTGAGGGATGGAGGTGTATGGTTGTAAGGATGTATGTCTGACTACCAGTATCAGATATGAGGGTAGAGTATCAGCGTGAGGGATGGAGGTGTATGTTAGTAAGGCTGTATGTCTGACTACCAGTATCAGATCTGAGGGTAGTATATCAGCGTTGGCAGATATCAGCGTGAGGGATGGAGGTGTATGTTAGTAAGGATGTATGTCTGACTACCAGTACCAGATCTGAGGGTAGAGTATCAGCGTTGGCAGATATCAGCGTGAGGAATGGAGGTGTATGTTAGTAAGGATGTATGTCTGACTACCAGTATCAGATCTGAGGGTAGAGTATCAGCGTGAGGGATGGAGGTGTATGTTAATAAGGATGTATGTCTGACTACCAGTACCAGATCTGAGGGAAGAGTATCAGCGTTGGCAGATATCAGCGTGAGGGATGGAGGTGTATGGTAGTAAGGTTGTATGTCTGACTACCAGTATTAGATCTGAGGGTAGAGTATCAGCGTTGACAGATATCAGCGTGAGGGATGGAGGTATCTGTTAGTAAGGATGTATGCCTGACTACGTATATATACCAGTATCATATCCAGGGTCGGGTATACGTAATGTGGTGTCTCTGTCTGATAAACTGTATCTATCAGACGCGTACGATAAAGACGTACTAACAAGAGGTAAAGAAATATTTGCGTTTCTCTGATCAGCAGATATTTAGATATAGCCTCTCGCAACTGATTATATCCGTTAATTACGTCCAATTTAGCATATAATTAATGTTACATGTAAATATGCCGTTCAAACAAATTGGTTCCCTCCATTTCAAGGCTCTTAGCTATCATGTAAGCAAATAAGCAGTTGCATGCACATCAAATTTCCTCCGATATACTATTTTATTGGTATATATTGAGTGTGATTTAAAATAACTATCACATGTTTGTTCGATTTTAAAATATCAAATTTGGCTGTTGTCCATTACAATAAAATCATAGATATTTATAACGATTGACAACATTCGGCATTGCGTGTTGATAGACATAAATGGGTGTTATTTTATAATTCTGAGTAATTTTGTATCTTAGTCTTTTCTTTCACGTCAATAACGGAGATTACCTTGTAATTAACACATATCAGCTTTGTTTTCAGTTCTAAAATACGGGGAAAGGGAAGAGAGAAAAAATAAACTATTGAACCAATTTAACAATCAGATATTGCTCTAGAACACCGCCAGATAGCATATGCTAGAATTCATTTTGAATTCCGGGGGTGGTAGGGGCGGCGGGGATGGTAGGGGCGGCGGGGATGGGTAGCTACGCCTCGTGGTAGCTAGGGGCGGATAATGTTGTTGTTGTTGAGGGACCATTTATTACTTGGCAAGCATATATTAATTGTTTACAATCCAGGTAGCGCCAGATTTCTACGACAATAATCTCAATATATATATTTTTATATATTTTTCCTTGATATATGAGTATAGAACGTTCGTTCATTGGTGTTGAAAACTATGGACATTTCACACTTAAGAAAGAAAATAGCATTCAATTAAAAAAAAAGAAATGATTTCATTTAAGAAAATCGGCATTTCTTTTCATTTCTCACGGGTTTTGATGTACAAAAGCTGTTCTCGCCTTGTCCCTTTTTCAATTTACAATTGTTTGCACTAGGTATCTTATCCAACCACTCTATCAGCAAATAACATTTAGACCTACTGGAGTTCGTGATAAAATGGAATTCAAGCCCCTTCAAGTGCCTCATTTGTGTTAACTAAAACCGCTCCCACGTGCCGGAAATAACAGTGGATTCCGTTGTGTTGAGACCGGGCAGTCCTGAAATCTTACTGCTACCAAGACCAATAACACGCATAATACTTCCAGCTTACTGAATGCTAAACCGGCCAAGTGTAGTGGTACTAAAAGCGAAAGTTGTGTCAACTGGCAGTGCTCAAAAACCGTTGGCATTCTCATGTAAGGGGATCCCCATGGGGTTTTAACATTGAAGGATATAACAGGTAAGACCGTTCTGCTTTAACTCGTTATCGTTGTAATATATATACACTTAATATATTTCATTAAGATGTCATAGTCGCTGTATTATATGTTAGATTTGTTACTTAAGTAAATGAAGTTCTAATTTTTCGTATGGAATTAGATACGTTTAAAAAACATCTGCTACTTTCGTTTTCTATTGCTTTACTGTGGCCAACAATGTAGACGAAATTGGTGGTAAGAGTTTGTTGATTTAAGTCAATATTTCCATCGAATTCACGTGCTTTAATAAGAGAAATACCACAGTTCTAATAACGGTGCAATCACATAAAAACTTTATAGAATATTTAAAAAAAAATACCGAGTGTTGATTCAGTTACAGTGATAATATACAACTTCCTGGTCAAACATTTTGGAATTTTCTAGCGAAAACTTTGTGCTACTAAATCAACAATCTCTTACGTGTTTACCATTTCAAACCAAACAATTATTTGTAAATTAAGGTGATAATTATGATACATTAAACTTACCTTGTTAGTTCGGGTGTATTAGACATACAGTAGTGTATCAGGTAAGGCTATCGAATGAGGTCCTCGACAGGGTACACAGAATGGAGGCGTGTCAATCGCAACTTAAAGGTCAGGGCTATTCATATGTTAGCATGATATGTTTGGTCTTGTTACGCATTGAAGCTCAGTAGGTCGACTACATATATGTTCTTTAAGTTTACTTGCTATGTAATACATTTTACTCACCTGACAATTTGTTTACAGATTGAGCTGTGCTCGATACATTGGATCTCTTTATCTACATTCGTCACAACAATGGCAGCACAACAGGTATCAATTCTGAATATTACGCCTGCAAGTGGAGAAAACAATGTGTTTTATGATAATGATTTCGGTTTCATTTTTAAAGTTTATTTTCGGATTTTTTTTTATAGTTCATAACTTAAAAATTCATTGTCTGAATACGTAACATTTTATTGTCAATTTTCAACATATTTTTATTAAATGCTATTTTAGACATATACTAGGGTGATACACCATGTAAAACGTTGAAATTAATTGTTTCGTTTATAGAAACTTAGTCGATCGCTCTAGTATACAGTACGATGTACAGACTGCAGGTCTGAAAATAGATTGTGCGTGTGGTTCTTACACACATGTACGTTAATATAGATATGAACACTATCTCCTTTATTGGTATACTACAACTGTTAAGCTTTAAAATCAAATCTTTTCATTGAAATATATAAATTATATAATAAATCTTACATTACTAAAGCATTAATTGATTAGAATAATTAGTCAAACCACTTTTGTACAATAACAAATTCATAATACTTTGCATATTTTCATAATTAAGATTGAATAATAGCTTATCGAACCATCAGCAACATAACATGTAAACATCTGTTGGTATTGGGTAATGATGTTTCTATAGTGCAGTGTATCTGTTCTATGAAACCAAGATCCTTACTATACATAAAGAATAGTTTCATTTTAAATATATATTATTTATCCATACAATATTCTNTCCCTTGACAATGCCTCACTTTTGGCCATTTGTTGAGCGTTCGCCCCTGTGAGGAAGGCTTTGGGTTCTGTCCCCTGGCCGAGACATACCAAAGTCTTTAAAAATGGTAGTTTATACTCCTGCTTAACGCTCAGCAAATTAGGAGTGGGACGACTGGTTCGCCCGTTGTCAGTATAATGTGACCGGATGGGGCGTCCTGCTGGGTTTCTTCGGCAGTCTGTTTCAGTGAGGTAGCACTATAAAGTCGGCATCAGTTCCGCGCTATCACAAGGAGACAAACACGAACATATCGCAGCCTCCCAAAATATACACACATACACTACACGCATGCATCTTGCACACAGGGGAGGCCGTCCTTAAATGACATTAGCTGTTAATAGGACGTTAAACAAAATCAAACAAACAAACAAACAATCGATTGTAGTAATAAACTCTAGCGTTGATATTTCATTTTTCTGTGACAATAGCATGGGCTTTCTCTTTCAGAAGTTCAGCAAAACATCTTACAGTGCTATACTTAAAATCGACCCTGCATTAAAGGAATATATTGGAGAGGGGATCCAAGCTCTTCTACAAAGTCATTCGGTATCAGACGACACAGTACAAAAAGCCTATGAAGAATATGTCAAGCTGCTGAATAATTTTAAAGAGTTCTCTGATAAGCATCCCAAAGAGGTGAGTTAAGATGTACATATTAAGAGTTTGTCAAGAAGTACAAGAATAATTGTAATGTTATCGATTAGAAATATGTTTAAGAGGACACAGAGAGGCGAATAAAAGCACTAATAGCAATTATGGTATTCTCTTGCAATGCAAAACAGTATTGGTAACTTGGCAACCATTGTATATAAGACGTATTCTCTTTAAAAAGAAGACTATCACTCCAGTCTTTTATCCTCAAATCTACAACGGGGAGAAGTATATCCACATCCTCCAAGATTACTGTTTGAAAAACCGGCAAGGTTCTAGCCTCGTTTGTCAATATACCAATAACATCGGCAAGGTTGCTAACTCAGTCCCCCTAGTAAAATGACCTCGCTCCAGAAAACATGCGATTTTGTCATAACAGTGTATAATATCATCCCAGGTGCAGTCTAAATCGACAGGAAAATATATGTTCATCCCGGGGACAGTAAAGTGTCCAAACAACTGAAAATCGACTATTTTTTGAATACCATGAAGTCTACCGAAAATTATACAGCAAAATATATGGTAAAGCATACATCAAGTTAAAGAAAACATGTTTACTTGTCAATCGAGGCTGCTCCCGGGGTGTCACTGTGTTGTAAGTTTGAACAAGACACTTTACTCCGCTTATTCCAGTCTTCTCAGCTGTAAATGAGTACATGGTTGGGCAGTGCTAGAATTGTAGAATGCTATCTGTGAGCGCCGAAATGACAGCACCGGCTGTATGCTCCCCACCCAGGGAATTGAGACAGATATTGGCTGGTTGCAAAGGCCCTATTAACAACGGATAAACAATTTGTGTACCGCTTTGAGACGACCTACGAACTAGGTTGTGATAAAGCGGTATTTAAGAATCTTGAATGATTTATTATAATTAGTATATAAACGGTTATGACAAAATCGCATGTTTTCTGGAATGGGGTCACGAAACTAGGGGGACGGAGCTAGCAACCTCAAATTTATTATTGGTGTATTGGCAGGTGAGGCAAGAACCTGTGGTCAAAGCCTCCTTTTCTTTCAGCTTTTAGAAGAGATTGGTAAAGACCGACATATGCAATGTAAAATGCACAAATATTTAGATAAAATATAGATAAATCAAGGACAAGGTTACATTGTATATAAATAAAAAGAAAACAATTTCAAAAACACGTTTTAGTACTTTCATCTCTTCGGGGAGATTCTTCAAGAATCTCCTTGAAGAGATGAAAATACTAAAGACTCGTTGTTGAGATTTATTTCTTTTTATATTATTTCTTCGTCCGTAAGGATAATTTTTCTGCTTCTATACTATATATACATAATATATATATATGATATTTCAAAGGTAAATTTTTGGATTTCCACGTTTTGGGCCCCAAAAATCACCGACCATTCTTAAATGGACAAAACAGCTGTTTTGTGGTGCATTGTTCTTTTGGCATGCTGTATTTAACAATTTTATATACATTATTTAGGTGCAATGGCATGTCTTACATTAATGTTGTATCAATTTTTAATCAGGAAAAGACGGAACTAATCGTCTTTTCCCCAAAGTCTCAGCAAACATCGGCATTCCAGCTCAAGGTCGGTGCCAGAACTATTGAAACTGTCTCAGCTGTTAAAAACCTAGGGGTATACTTTGGTGGTTCACTGAACTTTGAGAAACAAGTGAACGCTTCTGTCAAAGCCTGTTACTAACATATCCGGAACATCGACTGTATCCGGCAGTTTATAGCTGCTGATGCATGCAAGATTTTGGTGCATTTACTTGTTACTTCTCGGTTGGATTATGGTAATGCCCTGCTCTGTGGTATATCTGACAAACTAACTAGTCTCTTGCAGAGGGTCCAGAACACTGCAGCACGTATGGCTACTCGTACTCGAAAGAGAGAGCACATCACACCTGTGCTTTATTCACTGCACTGGTTACCTGTACGATACAGGTCGCAGTTTACAAAATGTTGGTGTACACATACAAATGTACAAGGAACTGAATGGAACAGCGCCCCAGTACTTACAGAAGCTTGTTACCCTGTATTAGCCGTCAGGATCACTCCGGTCGAAGACAGAATCATTGTTGTGTGTCCCAAAATCTCGTACTGTGACCTTTGGAAACCGGTGTTTTGGGAGGGTTTCGTCCACATTGTGGAATAACTTACCATCTGCAATTAGAAAGTAAAATACCCTGGCCAAATTCAAGAAGGACATACAAACTCAACTCTCCATGTCTGCATTTTAGGCTCTTGGCACAGACGTCATGTAGATACCACCCTTTATGTATTCATTTATGTGCACATTGAGATGATTATTTTCTTGCTTAATGTATAATGGTGATTGTAAGCCTTTTTTTGTTTATCAATTATAACTAATACTAATATCCATATGTTGTAAAGCGCTTTAGAGTAATTTTACAAATTATACAGGGCGCTATATAAATGTTGTAAATTCAAATATGTTTATTAAAGTGTCACACATCAGAATACATATGTAAAACATCAAAGTGAACGTATTAAAATAACCACACATACCCATTCACACCTTTCTGATGTCTATTCTTAGTAAGAATCATGAGACACTAAAATAGCTTGTACAAGCTAAAATCAATCTTTAATCTGTTAACATGGTCATAGGTATATAATTAAGATAAAAACATGAAACAAAATTGTTAACATATAAATATATCCCGCTCCATAGAATACGTAATTTATCAGCCCGAGTAGTGATCAGCCGTATTGGTTTTTTTCTGTTGTAGCGAGCTTCTATGCTTAATGTCCAATTACGGGGACAGATAGCTCTAAGTGACAAGGCGATAGAGGAGTATGAGCAAAGGGCACGTTCCCCACTTGTAAAGTTAATGAAAACCAAACAACAGCATACAGACTTCAACAAAGCCGTTTTGGAACTACATGGCCTCGTATCAGCAACACACAAACTAGAACAGGTAATACTGTTTCGGTGATGAGACTCTTATGATGTTTTCTCGTCATTCGTAAATGGTTTCTGCTGAATTATGAACCTTCTACGGTTTACAAATGTAAAAGAATATGGTAAGATATACATACATTTTACATATGCATTACGATTTATATTTATACTTTAAAAAAGCTGAATTTCCAACCACTGAAATTTGCCTAATTGACAAAATAATTTTGATAAAATTAAACAGTTTTGGACCTAAATTGAGCCCATAGTAAATTGTTGCCGTAAAACTTCCAACTGAACTAACGACTATCACCTGCCTCTCTTTAAATAGGAGTAATCGTGGTTAATACGTTTGTATTGACTGCAACGTCCAGACATGGTAAACTTGTGATTACTTCATTTGGAAGTAGAATCGTCCTATGCCACATACAAAAACACTTTGCATTTGTTACTTTATAACAGGTCATGTTTGGATCTGTTTAAGCTTATATAAAACCCGATGAGATTACTTCAAATGTTCTAAACATTTTCTTCAGGTTGGTAAGTATGGATTATGAGAAGTTCTTTTTACACAACCAATAAAATATTCTATGTGACGTTTCAATGACTAGTACGATATGTACACCGTCACCATCATCAGACAAATGACCAGTGAAGCGTATACGCACGAAGGTGTAAAATGTGTATGAGTTGTCCAGGCACAACACCCCACCAGAGATTACTTCATGCATTGTACTGTTTGTATGCACTTTAACCAATATGAAAGTATGGCATTTAAATACTGAAAATAAGCAATAACCAACCTTTATATTCAAATGTATGCATACAAAAACTGATCATTTCAATTATATACATAGAAAACAAAAAGAACCGATAATTGATTGAGATTGTGGGGGAATTATGTAATTTCCTTCATCAATGTAGGTGCTTACAGGGACTGGAAAAGAAGGTGAAACAAATACAACGCAACAGACTACCGGCCCATATTGCTCAAGTGCATCTCATGCTTTCGATCCTCAAGATCGTGTGAAACACAGATAAAAACGTTGTACGAGACCACGTACAAAACAACAACAATAACCAACAAGCAAACATCATCATAATGGACATTGCGAAATGTTTTGACAAAGCCCATCACAAGCGCCTACCGTGCAAACTACAATTCTACTGTATCAAATGAAACACTATCACAGACTTTTTAACATGCATGTAACGTACCCAAACAAATATACTTGAAGGCAAACACTCAAACAAAATGCCTGTAACATCTGAAGTGAAGGAACCTGTTTTGGCCTAGTCCTTTTCCTCATACGCATACATCATTTCACAGAATGCATAACACAAGGACACTAAGACTATGTATATGACAGCATACTCTAAAAAGAGGACTTCCTCATGAAGATGCACCCTATTCACAATTTTACGAAAAAGTCACATAAATCGGACACTAATTAAATGTCCACGACCACAGATTGGAACTGGTGAACACTTGTAAATACTTAGGACTAACACTACAAAACGACTGTAAATGGAACAAACACGTTAACAATATTACATCGAATGCAAATAAATCACTTACTGCATACTTCCCACCTCTCACAATGGAAAAGTGTGGGCAATAAATCACTTGCTACCACAGTCCACTGCACAGATAAGCCCCTTTCAAGGCCAATCATAATTACATGACCATGAAAGGGGGTGTGCCCAGTGGTCTGTGGCCACAAATGCTGTAAGAAAGGGTAGATAATCAATCAGTGAGTAACGATGAAGTAAATACAGTAGAGGATACACTTAGTTGACACATTTCAAATAAGGGGAAAAAATGAAAGTTAAAAATGGTAATTTCATGATTGAGAAACACAAACAGATTTCCTTATCACGTGAGAGGATAAGCATTTCCTGGAAAAGTTTATAATCTTAAGGAGCTGTTCCTTTATACAAAATCGTACATTCAAATATACCATTCGTTGAAAGAACTGGAATTCCTTAGGGATTGATAAACCCTTACATTGTATATATGAAAATGGTTTCAATATCCTGTACCTTTGCCACATCTTGAAAATTAAACTGAAAATGTAGTCAGAAATTTACCATTGTTTCCAGTATTTTGAACAGACACTCCTTACCTTCCCTGACACTGGACCTGGATAGTAATTCAAAAACACTTGTATCCATTATGAAGGATAAAGACAAACTTACCTGGTTCTGATTAGTACTCACTCACATAGGTACATGTAAATTCTCTGGAGTGTAGGGTAGGTAAAAGGATTGTCCAGGCGAACATTTTTTACTCAACTTTTCTGTTTTGTTCGAGTTGGGAAGCATGCAGTAACCCAGTTATTGCATGACTTCTCGTCACTCGGGACTTATTACACCCTCGCTTCGCTCGGGGGTAATAAATCCCTTGTTACTCGAAAACCATGCAATAACCTTTACTTGGCTTCTCTAATCCCTACTTAAAAAATAAACACTCACTTCACATCAATGACCACGTACACAAGGCCATTGTAAGCCCAGCATTAGAAAAATGTTCTACAGTCTAGGTCCCACATTATACAATCAACCCAAACGTGTCATAGATAGTACAAAGATGAGCTGCACGTTACATCAACAACAAGTACTATAACACAATCTGAGTCACAGACGTGTTTCGTGTTGTTCAATGGTCAACACTACAAACGCACAGAACGAGAACACGGCTTTTCTCCATAATGGTACACCATAAAGATGCAATAAAACTAACATCCTCATTCTTGCAGACCCCAGACCACGACACTAGAATAACCTCGGCTGCAGGTACACCTTCTCATCCCAAGATACATATAAACACTCATTTTTCCAATAGCTAAAATTCGATGGAATCTCGTTTTAAATATCATCAACCAATTCCCAACTCTTGAATGATTCAAAACAAGCACCCCATTAGCGTAATGCAAGGCATATACAAACAACAGCTAATCAACCTCTGTTATCCTATAGCAAAATACAAATAACTAAAACAAACTGTATGTATTAACTTTCTTAATACTGAACCCTTCCATGTGTCGATTTGCATCAGTATTGATGGGGGACTTCAGCCATATGTAGAAGAAGATTCCATTTGTATACGTATTTGTACAATGAAGTTTATTGAAAGATGGCTTTTTATAATCTAGTTAACCGTGTGTTCTTTAGGAATAGGTTGTGTCATATCTTGCCTACCTGTGCTATTGAATCTAGTATGAGCATACGGTGTGTTGCTTCACACTGTCAAACGTATCATGCAGCTATTATGTTATAGATAAAGAGTGGTGATACCAAGAAAACAGAGAGACCAGCATTTGGCCGTTCCCGTTCTAGGGATGACGGTGTTGAACAGCCCTCCAGGCCCCCTTTACCGGTTACTGATATGGACACCGCTGACAAAGGGTATCGTTAATCACCTAACAGTGTCAATAAACATAACGGTAGGAATAGTTAAGAAAAGGTTGAGAACTACTGTGGAATTGTTTATGCCATGTTAAATTACTTTTCTCACATAAAAATGTCTGCATATGCTTGGTGCTGTAAAACGCTCACATCATGATATAGTCTAAGTTGTCTTGATGTAGACACGCTTCATTTACCTTATCATGGTAGGAATACTAACAGCGACTCTGATTTTCTTTTTAAGATACGTATTGGCCAAAAAATAAGTCGAAGTTAAGCTGGATGTGTAAATGTGTACATGGCTCAGTTAAAGACAGGAACCATAACTACACTTATCAATGTACTTACCGTTTACTTTAGTGAAGGGAAGAAAAAACCGCTCCCTCTGCCGGAGAATCTGAGCAGTTCCATGATGCAGGGCCGGCAGATAGCATCCATGCCCATGATAGAATTCCAGCAAATGGTCCGGAGGATGGAGAGTCAACAGCGAGACATCGACGAGATGACAAGCAGGTGGGTCTCTTTTGTTCCCGTTTATAACTTGATTTCACTATCATGCTTTTGTCAGTTTGGCAACAGTGTTCAAATGATTACGTTATTATTATTACTGGAAATCATTTTCTCTGAACCTCTTTTTTAAATTTTAATATACTGGCATGCTCTGAACATTTTAGTCAATAGGACGTACCACTATTGGGGAGCGTAAGGATATTTTCAGAGATTATATAATGCATCACTTTTTGAATGAAAATTGATTCTCTTCAGATGTCACGTCAATTTATCTCTGTGATGCATCAATATCTTCTATCGTTCAAAATATATAAATGCCTCTCACACAGTTCTTAAAGGAACATAATAAGATAAAATAATAACAGTCACTCTATGTCAAAATCTCCGTCATATGGGCATGGAGTTACTGTTGCTATTTCCTCTATATATATTAAATATTATGTGTAATTATAAAACATGACGAGAGTTTCACACTTCACTATATCCTGTATGGGAAACTCGGGTCACAGTTGTGTTCATATGCAAACATAAACAGTACACATTAACCAGAACACCGAAGGTCATTACAGACATGTACTGGACTTCGATGTTCTAGTACCTGTATATACATGTATATTTATCTATGAAACCATGACAACTGTTCTCCGATATGTATCTTTTCCTTTGTTTAATATTGCCTACACAACCAACAGTTAACAGTCAATACTTCTGTTCCACAGACTGAGTCGGTTTGCCAGTAACCAAGTGACCCAGGGCAATCCAAACATAGCGGATCTTAGTGACAAGAACCGTCCTACTAAAATCGGCGAAAAGTTCGGGGGGTTGTATGACGACGAATGGTCAGAAGCTTTCGAAGCTTTTAAGACTTTATTGAGATTAGAAAATGAGGAAGACGAACCGGAAATAATTAGCCAGCTTCTAAGAGTTGTTAATGTAAGTTCAGAATTATTTAAAACGTTTCAAAGTCAATTTAAGTGGAAAAGAAAAAATAAACAAGTAATATTTTAAGGACTATAATGCTGGTCTAAAACCACTAATGTATTTAAAGAGCTTGGTTATTACATGACGATATATACGAAAAAAATGTCATGTTTACTCAGAAACTTGATTTGTTTCGATTAGGCTTGGTGAAAACTGGGATTATATGACGACGATGATGTATAACTTGTTATTTCAGTTAGCCCAAATGTTTTGTGCCGACGTGGCTGGTGAACAACTGGAACAGTTAAAACTAAACCTAAAACGACCGATACTGGAGGTGGCGGTCCCATCGGCAGGGGGTAAACAGGTGCGTCCACGGCGATGTTGGTATTTACCTGAAAATCTAGAAAAAATAATGTTAAAACTTGTTTAAAAAAAAGATTTTTTTTCATAAATTCAAATGTTTGAAACGGAAAAATTTAGCGAGTGTCTATAATGCTACATGCCTATAGTGAAATAGAGCTTACACAGCCATTGAGTGTATTGTATAAAATTATTTTTCAGTTTAAAATTTGATATAAATAACTACATGTACTTGTAATGAGAGGAAGATAATCATGATCTACAACAATCACAATTTGTTAAGCAGTTTTCTAACACAGTTTTTGTGTCTCGACATATAGCCTAGGTATTACTTTGTCGGCGTGGTCGTCGTCCAAAACAAGGTTTCCGTGCGATAACTTGAGTTCCCTTGGGTTGATTGAACTCAAACTTAATACACATATTGCATACCAATATAGCTTGGAGAAGTTTGCATTTCAGAAGTTTACGTGCATTTTTAGTGGAGATAAGCCCCTTTTATTACCAAATAAGGGCATTGTGTCACGGTGATTGTGTAGAAAAAGCAAGAACATTTTTAGGTCACCTGAGACAAAGTCTCAAGTGACCTATTGCGATCGCCTTTTGTCCGTCGTCGTCCGTCGTCCGTCGTCCGTCGTGCGTCCGTAAACAATTTACACTTTCGACTTCTTCTCCAAAACCCCTGAACCAATTTCAATGAAATTTTGCAGGGACCTTCCATGGACAAAGGTCAACAAAAAGAGTTGCCGGTTTAGTCCTAAGCCCCCAGGGGCCTGAGGGGCGGGGCCAAAAAGGGTCAAATTGACTAAAATTTCAAAAATCTTCTTCTCCAAAGCCCCTGAACCAATTTCAATGAAATTTTGCTGGGACATTCCATGGACCAAGGTCAACAAGAAGAGTTGCCGGTTTAGTCCTAAGTCCCCAGGGGCCTGAGGGGCGGGGCCAAAAAGGGTCAAATTGACTAAAATTTCAAAAATCTTCTTCTCAAGACCCAGATATGGTAGAATCAAATACTCTTCATAGATGGAAGGGTCTTAAGGTGCTTTACCAAAATTGTGAATTTCATGACCCTGGGGTCTCACGTTTCTCCCTGGGGAGGGGGTAAACTTTACTATAGTTTATATAGGGAAATCACATTTTGGACCAACATTTGTTTAATTTCCATTGGAAGTAATTTAATTTGGGTTAGCATTATCAGTATTAGGGAGCAGTTTGGTAATAAGCACATATTAGCCCTGGCTGACCCCCAGGGGCTAATGGGTGGGGCCAAAAAGGGTCGAATTTACTGAAATTTCAAAAATCTTCTTTTCAAGACCCAGATATGGTAGAACCAAATACTCTTCATAGATGGAAGGGTCTTAAGGTGCTTTACCAAAATTGTGAATTTCATGACCCTGGGGTCTCACGTTTCTCCCTGGGGAGGGGGTAAACTTTACTATAGTTTATATAGGGAAATCACATTTTGGACCAACATTCGTTTAATTTCCATTGGAAGTAATTTAATTTGGGTTAGCATTATCAGTATTAGGTAGCAGTTTGATAGTATGCACCTATGAGCCCTGACTGACCCCCAGGGGCTGATGGGTGGGGCCAAAAAGGGTTGAATTGACTGAAATTTCAAAAATCTTCTTCTCAATACCGAGATATGGTAGAATCAAATACTCTTCATAGATGGAAGGGTCTTTAGGTTTATGACCTAGGGTCTCACGTTTACCCCCTGGGGAAGGAGGAGGGGGCAAAAATTATTATGGTTTATAATGGCAATTGATACTTTGTATATATTGAATATTACATGTTAATAACTTGATTGGAATTATAACCTTGAATTGACAGTTTGATACTTTGAAAATTTTGAGCCAGCCCTACCCCCAAGGGCTGTAGGGTGGGGCTCAAAGGAGTCAGTGTGCTAAAATTTCTTCATTTTCCTTGTTAAGAATCAGAGGTGCTAGTTTCAAATCCTTTTCATTCTGAAATCTGTATGCTAGATATTGAGTAAGGTGGTTTTATTGTTTTTTGTCACTTTGAATAATATTTCTGTTCATGTTAAAAACAAAATCAACTCTCTGTATAAATATATCAGGTGACCGTTAAGGCCCATGGGCCTCTTGTTATTTTTTAATCAATTCCTTTCAAATTTGATACGGTAATGCTAGAAGCAATAATGTTCAACTTATACTATGGATTTTCTGTCCTGTTTCAACTTTCTGCGTTTTGGCATATCTGTTTACGCGATAACTCAAGCCGAAACACTTTTCTTACTAAAAGCGCTCCACTCCCGTGGAATTCTTGTTATGAAGTGATAAATATAATTATTTTCCAAATGACAAGTCAAGTTTCGTAAGAATTTGTTTAAGACGATATGTGTAAAATCCACACAACTGTGTTTAACCAGAACCCAATTTCATTTGATCATAGTTAAATGTTTTCGTGTCGCTCAAGTTAAATCAATTCTGAGTGTTCACGAAATTAACCTATTTAATGAAGCAATCTTTATGGCACTTTTTACGCTTATAAATATTTTAATGGATAAACTGGAAATCTAATAGGTGCCAATTTACACACTGCCAAGTTCCATGTCTTCAACCACAGAAGGAATGTGCTGATGAACCGGGTGTTCATCACTAATGGTATTGTTTGCATGTAACGACCCTGGGGTTGCCAAACATGATCACACTTGTAATGGCAACAGTGTGTGCTACTGCACTGGTGACTCTGAAATACCATCCTCACATTCATATATCTTATTAACATAACTAACAAACAAAGTACCTTATGAATCTCATTGTGGTATTTTGCTTTTTTCAGAGGGTAGCTCAAAAATGTGAAGAAAACAAAGGTCTTCAATCAACTTGCGAGAAATATGCACGGAATTTTCGTAAAGAATGTGCACTTCAGTGTGTGCCGGCCGTCATTCAGGTAAGCTTACGCCTTTGTTAGTACCCAAAGATACCGGAACGTTTACCGTGAATCACTCCATTACAATCCATAGTTTTATCAGACCAGCCATAAGGTAAATGTTTTTATCCGTATACTATGTATATTTCATTCTTTGCAGTTGACGATGTCTCGATAGCTCACGCGATAGGATGACACGTGGCCAAATAGTAGACATGTACAATTGACAAGCCTTCTTTGTAGCAAGAGACACTAGAGTCAAAAATATATGGAGAGAAGTAGTAAAATAAATAACATATGAAATGTAGCATTGGGTTTTACTGATAAATGTTCAATGTTTAATTATCAGAAGGCGGAAAAAACATGGTATGAACATTAGTCACCCCTATAATCATTTTGTGGTGAAATTCTCAACCCTGGCCAAAGAAATGACAGGGCATAATGTGTTTATTAGTAATCATTCATATTCCAGCTATTCAAAACAACACAGGTCAAAACATCATTTGAATGGGCCAAGTCAAATTACCCAGAGCAGATTCACAAATACGTTGAGCGGTGTGTCGAACTGGTATGGTTGATGAGTGTGCAGGACCCGCCAATGTTCCTGGCCTCGGCGGACGCTGGCGACAAAGTCAGGACAGATCTGTTTACCTACTACGGCCGTAAGGGCAGGACTGTGAGCGCCACCGTGTGGCCGGCGGTCCTTCTACACAGTGATGGTCCTATCATCAGCAAAGGATATATTATTCCCCAGTGATGCCATATCTTGTGACGTCACCAGAAATATTATTAATTTCACAGTGTATATACGGAAAGATTTCGTAACGCTGTAGTTAATAAGATTCTCTAAATGTAAATATGAAGAGATAACATTTTAACCATGATTTCTTTTACGAGAAAGCTAGTTTATACGCTACATTTATGGTTTACATAACGACCTTGACATTATCATCTATAACGTATGTGTCTTGACATGATCAATCATTTCTGCATGCGAACGAAAGAGTGTCAAAGTACAAGTCATCAACAGTGTTATTTTCAAGAATAATTCCGTTTCACGTCTTTTTAGGAATGCTTGGACGGGTTTTCATAACACAGGAAAGTCCTGATGACTTGGTGTCTTTCTAGTCTCTATAGATATCGTCTCTAAATCGCATGCGCTTATATTTGTCAGCACATCAGTTTTGTTTTTGGGCATTGAGTGTTGTAAATCGAGATGCCATGTACGATAAAAGAAGAAAATAAAAACAGCGAGATCGAAATTTCATGTGCATGTCAAAATAACAGTTCTTTAATAGGAATGTCAAAATAACAATTAAAAACCTTTAAAAAGAACAGTCATCTTTTAGTCTCTTTTTGATAATAGTTTGTTCCACTATGGTTTTGTTGACACATTGGTAGTGCCTTCTTGTTCGCGTTTTTTTGTTGTTTTTTTTGTAATATATATGTTGAAAGAGTTAAATGTTTAAGCCAACATAATAAAACAATTATATCAAATCTGATGGTTATCGGTGTTAAATATCTTTCTGTGTGATTAATTTTGCCATCGTCCGTGTTTCATGCTGGCAAAGTACGTCACGTGTCAACATAAGTGGTGCCGTATTCAACAATTTAAAGACCTTGCATATTATCAAACAATATACCTGGATATATAACATTGTAAAAAATACACATTAGACAGGTGTGTCAATAAACACGATTGACAGATGTCAAATATACACCACAGACAGCTGTGTCAAATATAAACCACAGACAGGTGTGTCAAATATAAACCACAGACAGGTGTCTCAAATATACACCACATGCAGGTGTGTCAAATAGACACCAATGACAGATGTGTTTAATATACACCACAGACAGGTATGTCAAATATACACAACAGGCATGTGTGTAAAATATACACCACAGACAAGTGTTTCAAATATACAACACAAGACGTTGTGTCAAATATACACCTCAGGCAGGTGTGGCAAATATACACCACAGGCGGGTGTGTCTATATACACCAAAGACAGGTGTGTCAATAGTCACAACAGATAGGTGTGTCAAATACACACTGCATACAGCTGTGTCAATATACACAACAGAAAGGTGTGAAAATAAACACCACAGACAGGTGTGAAAATAAAAACCACACACAGGTGTGTCAAATATGCACGACAGACAGGTGTGTCAATTATACACCACAGACAGGTGTGTCAAATATATACCACAATCAGGTGTGTCAAATATACACCACAGACAGGTGTGTCACATATACACTTCATACAGGTGTGTCAAATATACACCAAAGACAGGTGTGTCACATATACACTACATACAGGTGTGTCAAAACACCAGGGACAGGTGTGTCAAATATACACCACAATCAGGTCTGTCAAATATACACCACAGACAGGTGTGTCACATATACACTTCATACAGGTGTGTCAAATATAAACCAAAGACAGGTGGGTCAAATGTACACCACAGACAGGTGTGTTACATATACACCACAATCAGGTGTGTCAAATGTACACCACAGACAGGTGTGTCACATATACACCACATACAGGTGGGTCAAATGTACACCACAGACAGGTGTCAAATATACACCACAGACAGGTGTGTCAAATATACACCAC